TTATGCAGTAATAGTGCCTTTGCGGTGAATTTATACTGGACCATCACTGTTACCGCATGCCATCTGGAAGGTTAACCTTGTGTTTTTGTGCTTTAGCACTACAAAAGCAGGACTAACACCCTCCCAGAACATTTGTCGTATGGAAAGTTATAGGTTTTCAGCATGAAATTAGAGGACATGCACCGATTGGAAACAAAGCGGTATATCCACCCTCAGCCTTTTGCATACGTGCTATTGAAAGTGTGGCTTGTGTATTACCACCCTGATCCTACAAGGAGCACAAATCATCATGAATACACAATAACAAGGACATCTGGAAGGGCTCTGGGTTTGTGCCCTAGCACAACAAATCTATTTTTAAAAAGTAGACATTTTATGGCTGAGGAAAGGGATAGCAAAATGCTGGATTGTGTAAATGACCAACTGGGAACCCGGATGAGTGCTCAATAAAATAAATCAGATCACTGTCTGGTGCGGCTAGAATTAAACTGAATATGCGTGTTAGGATAGAGAAAACAAGACATCAAACTGCCTGAATAACCAATTGGACTTCAAAACAGTGCCCACCCTCTCTCACCCCTGGGGCAGCCCTCATTCCCCCTCAGTCTCTTGCATCAAGAGAGCCCCACTCTGTGCCTAAACTCTGTACCAACAGACTCTGGCTTTTGAGCAACTGGGAACCCTTCACCCAGCAAACCCAGGCTCTTGCATGGACTGGCATAAATCATTGCCTCCAAGCAACCATAGCAAAAAATAATAAATCCTCCCACATGCTTTTTCACAAGAGTAACAGAGAAAGACAAATACAAAAAGGAAAGAGGCTGGTACCCTCACCCTCATGAAGACACTGGGATAGTAGTCCCAAGGGAGAATTCCCCCTTTGGAGAAGCCCACTGGTAGTAAGCAGTCTGTTGTGGTGTGGGCAGCAATCCTTAAATAGTGATCTCTGGGTTGAAAGTCAGTTAATAAGCCACAGCTGCTGTTTCTCTCCCCCCCAGTTCTGACAAGACTCACAGGCCTCAAGGCCAGCAGGGCTGCAAGGAGATTTGCTGGCCTGTCCCATCACTGTGCTCCTGATAACAAGCTGGGTCAGCATCCCATCTGAAGCTCTGTCAGTGCACCATGGCTGATAAAGAGTGTTCAGTCCGGGGTTGAGAAAAAGAGATACAAATTGACTGACTTAAGGGCAAGAATGATATGAGCAAGCCCTGGTAGAGAGATCTGTTCAAGCTTCAGGCTGCAATCCCGTACATATTTGCTTGTGAGCAAGCCCATTGAGCCCATAGGTTCTTACTTTTGTTTCTCATTTTTGCCATATTGAATTCAGTTTTCTACCTTTCTACAACCATTTGCATTTTTTAAAAAAAATCCTCATGAAAAATCCTCAGCATTTAAGTGTGAATTTCTCATAATAAACACAATTTTACATACTGTTTTGACTACTGTACACAGTTTTGCAAGCGATTTCCCCCGTAAAATGCATTTTTGTATTTCTTTCACAAATAAGTTCATATTTATGCACACTTTCCCATAATACATGCATTTTTGTGAACATTGGTTGGAGAACTGCATTACAACATTCAGATAAATGTGAATTTGAGGATGGCAGGGTTTCTGTTCTCATATTATTTCAGAAAGTTTAAATTTGATAAATTCAGTTTTGAGTGAAAATGGAATTTCTCCCCCACCACAACCTTCTGAGTAAACACACAAAAGTACTGTGCTGTAAATATATTAGTTGCAAATATATGAATATTGTCAACTGACGGTTCAGACATTACCAGAGAAAAAATCATTAGCCACTAATCACAGGTGATGTTTTATTCCAATAAATACCACAGTGGTAACTGTATTCACAGTCACTTGCTGTGCTATCTCTACACGTTATTTACTTAATCACTTGTTTGCTTAAGTCATGTTATTTGGTGATCTGAATTATCCTTCCTGTATCAATTGAATGTATTGTTTATGAATAGTGTTGCTTCTTCTCTCTGAAGGTTATTGAGAGGTCTGACCTGGACAATATTTTACCATAACAGGAAGATAGACCTACCTCTTATCTCCTACCAGTAAATCCCAATCTCCTTCCCCCCCCCCACATCTGCCCTAAACAACTGTCCCCAGTACAGGGTTATTCTTATACGGCCTTTAGAAGAGGTCAGTCTATGCTTCGGTTAATGCAATACATACTTCTGGGTTATCAAATGTGAACTTGTTTAACTCCGTTGCATCATTAGTCTAACCAAAGTCTCACAAGACAGAAGGCAGGCAGGATTTCTTTCAATGGAAAATATCTGTGTGCAAAACTTCTTAGAGGCCCCTGTCTGAAAGTGTCGCTCAAAGTTCTGGAAAAAACATAGTGGTTTCTCCCCAGGAAGTCTATGGCTTTCAGTAGCTGGTGAGACTATGAAAGTAATGGTTTCGAGAGAGACACCTTTGTCTTCAAATACAGTTAAATGCTATTTAAAACCAAGGCCATGGTTTATTTTTAGGGTTGTATGCTAATTAAGTAAAACTAAGGGTGATATACAAGGTTAGTCAGACTCAAAATAGATCTATTGAAACCAATGTGCAGTTACTGATGCCCATCAGTTACAATGGCTCTGCACATGTTTCAATTGGAATGTCACCCTGAGTGAGTGGTGAGTGAGTTAATTGATTAAATTTGCATAAAACCTCACATAAAAATAACATTTCTGAAGGAAACAACATGTTTTGTTTTTTAGATGAGACACTCATTTGTCATAGCAGGCATAATTTTAAAAAGACATTTCCTCTTGCATGAGGTAGAAGGACACATGTCTCTCTTAAGGTAACACTTGCCACAGTTTTTATAGGTATTTGTATTAAAACTATTTTTAAAAAATATAAAGGAAAACAAAAATCTTCTGCCCAATAAATTGGGGGTAACCTTTCAGTTAATGAAAAAGCTATATGAAAAGGTTAGTAATTATGTACAGAGCAATCGCATACATGCCTTTTTAGACATAAAGCCTATTGATTTCAATGGGACATACGATCAGGCATATTAGTATAGAACTGCAGCCTTCAACTGATCAAAATCCAGAGCCTGTCATTACTTTATCAGAACCAATATAATATGACCAATGAAAATGTTGTAATAATGGTATAGCCCAATTATGGATTTTGATTTCCCCCCCCTCAAGTGGGTTATCATGGATCAAAAAGCACAGGAAGCAAATTAAATGTTGCAGCCTTATTCATTTCTTTGTTCTTAATAGTCCAGCAGGTCTCTCTGTGTTATATGCAACCCTAGCAAAGTCTTGGTTTTGCTAAGTGAGAGACAAAAATCGGCAAATGTTGATTAGGGAGCACATGCCCTGAGTCAGCTGTGACTGAAATTAGGGTGGCCAACTTTTTAACCAGCCTCTGCAGCTGGGGTTTTAAAAGTGGTTCCACATGTGGCATGAAGATAAATATCACCTGCTCCTTGCTGCCTAGCCCAGGTTTACAAGCACAGCTGCAGAAGCTTGTTGAAAATTGGCAGACCTCCAGTCATCCAAGCATACTTCCAGTGAGTTCACATCCTTTCTTAAAGGGGCTGCACTAGTTACCAGTTCATTGCCTAGTCCATTTTAAGGGGCTGCTATTGGTATAAAAAGTCCTAAATGACTTGGGCCCCAACTATCTGAAGGAGCACTTCCTCTCATTTCACGACCTGCTTCTTGCTGCCAGTCCCAACTGTGGCTGTCCCAAGTTTCAGACAGGGTTATTTCCCAGCCCTATCTGGTGATGCTGGAGAGTGAACCTAGAGTCTTTTGCATGCAAATCATGTACCACTGAACTATGAATCCTCCCCAAGTGCATATCTTTGCTTTCTTCTTCCGGTTATTCGCTCCTTTGAAGAAAAAGCAAAGGTTTGCATATTTCCCTTCCACTTTGGGGCCCAGCTGGGATGGGCATGACAGCACTTTTCCCTCTCACGCCGTTGGGCCCGCTCTCACTTAAATTGCCCCCCACCTCACTGAAAAACCCTTTACCCGAAGGTCTCTTTCCCTTTCCCCTTGAATTTTTAGCCCAGAGAATCCTGCGTGGGATCTTTGTGAGGGGGTAACTAGTAAGTTGGAGTCTCAGACTGGTTTTCTTTAAATAAACAATAAAGATTCATTTAAGGCAAGATAGTAAATCACTCAAAGGGATTCAACTTAGGTTGCTTCAGGAATACAGTGTGATTTCACTTGAATTCGTCCTCATACCAAAGGCCTCTCCACACCCCCTCCCTTCACTGAGTCTGAGAGTTTATTTTCCTTAGAAGAATCTCTTCCCTCCAGACTAGATTTGAGTCCCAAGTAGGCTGTTCCTTTCCAGCTCCTACTTCTCCTGGCTCAACCTCTGCCTCCCAGTAAAATTCCAGTCTATTCCTCCTACAGGACACCACATTCTGTCCTTCACAATATGCTTAGAGCGGAAGCTGTTTCCCTCCCAGAACCAGCTCTTTCTCCCATTCACTCTTTATACCTCAACCTGTCTCCCTACCTATCTCCCAACCTCTCCAACCTCCATAATTCCAACCCTCTCAACTCCCACAACTAACTGTCTCTCTTCAAATCCTCTCCTTTTAAACTCTCCCTCCTGGAACCACAGCTAATCAGAGGCTGCCGTTTGTTAACCATTTGTTGGCAGGGAAGAATGGGGGGGGGGGAGAAAAGAAACACTTGTTAATCCAACCTGTTCAGCAAAAGCAGGGGAGGGAGTAGAGGGTGTCTCATGTACAGTGTATGCATAACATGCCCACCCCCTGCCTATATCCTGCGCTATATGGAGCAATTTCCATTCCCCGTTCTACTCATTCATCATCATAATGATGCCGCCGCGGTGGTGGGAAATGAGAGCAGTCAGACGTGAAAAGCCTCTTACTGTATTTCTGCCTCGTGGCTTGTCAAGATCCACAATTTGAAATTGGATTCAGAAATTAGGAGAGGCTGCACTAAATGAGTGTTATTGTTGTCTTAATGACAGAAAAATGTGAATCCCCACAATGCAATGCATGTTCTATGTGAATCCTTCATCAGAGGCTCCACTCAAGAGTGCTTCGATTGGAAGTGGAGGGCTCTCACTGTCACACTTCAAATGCATCACTTGAACACATCTTATCTTTTCTTTCTTAAAAAAACAATGAAGAGAGGGGAATCATAGCCCACGTCCCGTGGTTGTTAGAGAAGAAGCCTTGGTGTCTACTCTGTTTCCTGTTTGCATCTACAAAGATTTAAACTTGCGCTTCAGGTGCCCATATTGACTCAAAATTGGGCCAAGTAAACGCATCCCGCATAATCTGCAAAGTTATCTCAACTCTGAAACCTTTTTTGTTTCTATTCGGGTGAAAGTGCTGAATTTATGAACGGCAGGAAATTGAAAGGTATGTACCTTTTCCTCATTACTGGTAATTTGGGGCATGCTAATTTAGGCTAATTATTTTTGCAGAAGGTTACAAATCTTATGGTTCAACACTTGCATTAATTATTATGATGACTAGTTATTATTGCCATCTTCATAAACCTTAGATAATCTCAAATTAGGTGGAGGAACAATTCCATTAATATTGGTAGGTACAATTAATGTTTGTGCTTTATAATTGCTACCTGATCTAAGGGAAAGCTGCTTTTTATGCTGTGCCTTTTACCCTCTGAAGCCACGCAGCTTGAATATTAAAAACCCAATTAACTGTGTTCTGATTAACTGCTGTTTAAAGATACCTTTCAAGAGATTCAGACTCTTTTTAAGATGTTCAAGCCTATCCTGAAAGGTCATCAAGGTGATTACTTTGTTTACACCAATTTTATATTGTTCAGTAACTTGCAGGAAGAAACTACTGTATGCGTGTTTACTCACAGAAGGAAGTCCCACAGAGTTTCTCAGTAGGCATAGGATTGCTACCTTAATGGATTTGCTTTTGGTAAGGGTCACTGCTACAGGAACTTATTTATACTGCTGAGGGTTTGGAGAAAATGTTTTCTTTGTTTTTAGGTAAAGGTAAAATTATAGGTGCAGTATTAAGCAGATTCTACTTTCATTTGCCTGGTATGTAGTGAGTAGAAAATAAACTATAGTCTTTTCATTCAAAGGACTATGGTCCCTGGATGCTTGGATCTCCTAGCCTTTTTCTTAAGCAGGTGCCTAAAAGACTGTTAGCTATGTCCACACTTCCATATATACTGCATCCAGTGTGCTGCCACTGCTGGTTTGGGACATCACGTACACACATTATGCCACAATCCATATCTTATGACATACTGTTTGATGTGTTTCCTACCGATCCAACTTCAATCTGAATTGAGAAAAATATGACCTCTCTGTTTTAAGTCAGTAATGTGTAAGCAGGCTTTATCCTAAAGTTTGCACGCTACCTGTTTCTGACACAATATACTGAACGTAGCAGTGTATTTAGCTTGAGTTGCTCACAGTCATTTTAATTTTATTAGGTTCTACAAGGCTTTTTTTCGAGCCAGAACTTATTTCCAGCACCTTTCAGGTGGGCGCCATTGACTTCCAGCTGTAGAGGCATAGAAAAGTTTTCATGAGCTGCTTGAAAGATGCCAGTGGAAACTACTGGAAACACTCCTGTTTCTTCTGCATCCAATGTGCTCCCACTGTTCGTCTTGGAGGCAGTTGTTCACATAGAAGCCATATCTATCCTGTGGTTTCTTATGAAATACTGCATTTGGATGGTTTTCCCCAGTGCTATTGTTCTAGAAAAATAGGTGCCGGAACTCACAATGAATGCCTCCCTTGTTTCTCTTATAATGGCCACGGTGCCCACCTGAGAGGTGCCGGAACTGAGTTCCAGCAAGTTCTTGTTTGGAAAAAAAGCACCAAACCAGTTTTGTTCCAAACTGAGAAAAAGAATAGCCTAGCTGCATTTTAAACTGGGCAGTGTATACACAAACTAAATACCTGACTTCTTCTTAAAGCCAGCTAGGCTACTACATAGGGAACAAATAACAAACCTTCCTCCAGATGTTCTCAGCAATCAAGCTGGTTTAAAAGGGCTCACTCAATAGGCCCTCAAGTTTTCCTGGGCACAAGTTGTTGTGGGCTTTGTATATTAACACCTGATCTGCACTTGTTCTACAGGATCAACAGCATTATGTCAGATATAATAGACATATTGTTAATTACAGCTTCCATAACATGCTGGCCTAAATATCTCTTCAGGCCTATTCAAGCCCTACGGCATCCTCACAAAATCGCTGTATATTTTGCATTTTATTTCCCTTTGACCTCACTGCTTACATAACCTATATGTGCCTGCCAGCTTAGGCTAATTCTTCATGCATCTCATGACGTGGACTCTGTTCCACAAAACCGTATGTCATAACCAATTCATTAAACTTTAGGGGCCACAAAAAATATTTGCTATTCCTGCTGCAACAGGTTAACATAGCTGCCCACTTGGAAATTGACACCAAACAAGAACAGGCGGAGATACTAATTAATTCAGGTTGCAGTTCTGTATTGCACATACTTCTCAGGGAGCAATCCCTATGGAATTCAGTGGAGCTTACAACTGAGACCTCAGGGAGCCCTTCTGAACCAATTTAAGACACTAAGTACTGATAAAAGTGCAGTGTTTAAGTGTCTGCTGCTTCTTTGCAAAGGGAGAGAACCAGAACAGGTGGAGGCTGCACACCTTGTTTCCCAGCAGAGAAACAACTGTGTCAGTGTGAGCCCTTTCTGTACCAACAACAGACAATTTTCAATTTAGTTAGGTGCTGAGTATTTGTAGATCTGCAAGTATCCACACTGTCTGTGCAAAGGAGGAAAATGGAGAGAAAATCAGAACAAATGGCCCTATTTCAGAGTATTCATTGGCCACACCCCATGACTTTGTAGCAGCCCTGCCAGCTCTAATGGGCACCAATTGGCCCTGCTAAGCAGCATGCGTCTGAAAACATAGACGTTCAAGGGAAGCTTGGTCTGAAAATGGCTGTTCGTTTCTTTCATTTTGTTCCTGGATTTGTTGTACAAAATGGGGGCAAGAGAGACTGGAAACGAAAGTGGAAGACTTAAGACCTGTGCACTGCGCAGGGGAGAGGATTTTCTCCCCAACCCTTTCAGCCTGTGCCATTTTTCTGCTAGAGATCCTACCCCCAGCCCTTTGCCTGTAGCTCAGTGGTCTAACTGATGCTTTGCATGCAGAAGGCTGCAGGTTCAAGCCTTGACATCTCCAGGTAGCCTAGGAAAGATGGACGCACCACTGCCATCCAGGCTAGACAGTGCTGAGATAGATGGACCAACTCCTTCCTCCTGTGTCCTGCAAGTGAGACAATTATGCAGCAAAGATGTGTTGTTCTTTCCCCAAGGGAAGTACCTTGAAAAGAGAACCAGAGGGCTCTGTGCATTCCACTATTCTGTAGCTGCATTGCACAAAGACCAAAGTTGGTCTTGACTCGAGTGCATAATGAGCCATGGCCTACCCACACCATCTTTTTTCTTCTAAAAATAGAGCAGATTTCTAGCCTTTAATGCTCATGAAAATAAACATGAAAGGGTGTGGTCAGGGCCTGTAAAAACCTCAGAAGCCAGGGTGGGTATGGCGACTGAATGTGCAGTTGAACAGGATTTCCAGTGGTAAGAGGTTATAAAGTTTATAGCACACCCCACAATTATAGGTACAAAGACCAGAATGGGGTGGGGGTGGGGGACATAGATGGACAGACCACATCGATGGGGCGGGGAGAGAGGTGTTTATTTTCAATCCTCCTCCTGGTTGCCCAAGCCACTCTGAGTGGCTTCCAACACATATAAAAACATAATAAAGCATCAAACATTAATTGTAACAATCTGATCCAATATAGAAAGTCACAATAATTATGAAGTGTGTGTGTGTGTAAAGGTTGTTTTATTTTTAATATGTGTAAATATTTTTTATTATAGAAATGGACTGTTTTCAATGTATCCCTTGCTGGGTACCTCTTGGTTTTGTAACGACAATTATGATTATTTCCTTGGCGAAGAATGTATCGTACTACTTGAAGGAAAAGAAAAGGAAAAGTAAGAGGCAGTAGATTTTTTTGGCTTATGAGATCCTTGTGCTTCATCCAGAAGTCGGTGCAAAATGCTGTCGTATGATTGCTAACAGGAGTGATATCCTGACAGCATATAATCCATTTGCTCAGAGACCTGTGTTGGTTTGCTGATTTTCAACCAAGCAAAGTTCAAGGTGTTATTAGTAGTATATAATTTCCTTAGCAGCTTGGGACCAGTTTACTTTGTGAGATCGCCTGACCCCTATATATGTATCCTCTCAACCACTTTATGATGCTCGTTCCACATTTGCAAGAAGTTGATCTGTTGGTGTGGCAACACTCACACTTTCGAACTTCCTGCCTATTGATATCAGGCAGGTGACTTCCCTGTACTCTTTTTGGTGCCTCCTAAAAACCTTTTTTAGTTCAGGAAAAACATAGCTAGACATGTAGAATGCTGATATGTGTCTAATCTGGTTTATAGCTTATCATTCATTTTAATTATGTTTTAAATATTTTTAGTTGGTTTTAACTGTCCCCCCCCCCAATTGTATTATTATTTTTATATCTCACTTTGAGGCTTTACAACAATCAAGCGTATATAAATCTTGTAAAATAAATAAAATAGTTACTAGAACTCTGTAAAATGGTTTCCTCGCTAATGCGACCAAAGCTTCGGTTATCCAATATAATAATGGGGAGAGTACCAGTGTTATATAAAATCACAAATATTTATTCAGCATTTTCTTTCAGTGCCAAGGAATTAGGCTAGATTTGAGCAAAGTTAAATGCTATTTTTTCTTAAGTAAATGTCATCTGTGTTTAGACTGATCAGTTTGTAATTCATATACAAAAATAATACACGTTAAAAATGCCATAGTAAGTTTTCAATAATGTGAGGAGTAATGAGAGCTCAGGGCTAGAACACATGCTTTGTATGCAGAAGGTCACAAATTTAATCTTCAGGAGGGTTGGCCTAGATGATCCTCTTGGTCCCTTCCAACTCTGCAATTCTATGACTTTGCTGTGTTTTAAGTCACTCTGTGATATTGGGTGTGTGAGACTTTGTTGTTGCCAATCATAGCCAACTCTGAAGACTATACTGGGCTTTAGGGACCCATATTCTCTCTGTGTAAGTCTGCTTCCTGTGTGGAAGGGGAGCGGGTGGCGCTGTGGTCTAAACCACTGAGCCTCTTGGGCTTGCCAATTGGAAGGTCGCCGGTTCAAATCCCCGCAACGGGGTGAGCTGCGCTGCAATCCCACTGGCTGTTCTAGCTTCTGGCTTAGCTGCGCAAAGCCTCCGCAGGGGAGCGGGCTATCCAAAAGCCAGAACAGCTAGAGGGAGCGCTGCGCAGTTCTCCCTCTAGCTGTTCTAGCTTCTGACTTAGCCGCGCAAAGCCTCCACAGGGGAGCGGGGAGCCTTCATCCCGCTGCCCTGCGAAGGCTTCATGCGGCTATCCCCCAAAAGCCCCCAAGAGCCGGGGGAAAGCCTGCAAGCCCCGCACACATGCTCCACGCAGCTAGTGAAAGGGAGCGCTGAGCAGAGCCTGGGATGCATACAGGCTCTGCTCAACACTCCCTTTAAAGAATACTTTTTTCTTGCATTCCCCCTCTAAAAACTAGGTGCGTCCTATCATCCAGTGAATCTAATAGAGCGAAAAATACGGTACATAGGTACTGTTGTGGCTGGAATGTAAACGGCGTTTCTGTGTGCTCTAGTTTCCGTCACAGTTTCCCATTGCGCCAGAAGCGGTTTAGTCATGCTGGCCACATGACCCAGAAAGCTGTCTTTGTACAAACGCTGGCTTTCTTGGCCTGAAAGCCAGATGAGTGCTGCAACTCTATAGTCACCTTTGACTGGACTTAACTGTCCAGGAGTCCTTTACCCTTTTTTACCTAAGTCTGCTTCCTGTGTGGAAGTAGAAGTCTGGAATTAGTTTGAAATTAATCTGGACATGATCACAAAGAGCTGTGCTCCTGCCACTATAAATGACAAAAGGTAAATTCTGCAGGCAAGACAGGCTGGAAAAACGTGCTTTGTAAATTGTAGGAACTATTTTATTTTTGTACGCATTCGAATAAGAGGGATGGTAGAGTCTAGCTGGTCGCCTGTGGGAGAGTTCAACCAAGGATGATTGGGTTCATTTTTGTTAAGTTACTTTGCACATACTAGATATCCTCAGTTCTGGTTTTACTATACATTTTGATCACTTAATTTGGGATCTTAAAGGTTTTAAGAAAGCTTTTCTCTTGCACACTTTTACTGCAGAGTTGCTTAGACACAAGAAAATGTACAAAAATATGGATTAACTGAACTTATTAAGGGGATAACATCTAAACCTGAGCTGTTAAATTTAGACTGCTGCGCCTAATTACTGACTGGAAAGGTGTAAGTCAGGAAAGATTTAAAATAATAAAACAGCTTTATAGATGAGTTAAATGAAGGTGTGAAATGATTTCCTAATTTGCTCAAAATATTTTCCAGATAAAATATATGAAGACTATCAGCAATATGACCCAAGGTATGGTAAATGTTTTCTTTCTTTTTTTATGGGTGAAAAGTGATTGGGCTGGTATAGAAGGTTATCTTGATTACATATAAATACAAATATTTATTTAAGACATTTCTGTATGGCTTTTCACATAATTCACATGACTGCGAACAACTTTAAAAATGCAAGATTGGCATTAAAACTGTCACATATAAAATGCAGCTGAAACCTTGTCCAGGGTTAACATCAATAGCCAACCTACTGAAAATGAAGCATTAGCAAAAGCGTGAAAGCATGGAATTTTTAATGTGACAAAAGGACATTAATGTTGGTGCTTGTCCAATTTAGTGGGGGGCGGAGAGTGGTTCCATAGATTGGGCACTACCACCAAAAAGGCCATCACCTCCTCGTGATTGCCAAACAGAACTCTATTAGCTGTAGCACAACCAGACTCTCTTGCATCGTGGCATACAATATAGCTATAATTTCTTTTGCAGCTCTGGTGAGTTCTATACTGAAGAATGCCCAGTTTATGACAACCTGAATCATCATCACCATCAAGACATTCTAAGTAAGTTGCGCTTATGATGTCTGCATCCTGCACTTAGGATAATATGTCAAAGCCTTCATTGTGAGAGTAAGCAAAGATTTGAATATTTTTTATTTTTATTGAAAAGGAACAGACTATTGCAGTACGTTTAGCACAGCTGAATACAATGTAGCTGGGTACAATGTTCAAAGGTACAGTCGTATACAATATATACAGATACATTTAGATTTGAAGATTTTAAAAGCTCCCCCCCCCAAGAAATTAAATGCTGATAACTGGACGCATGTCTATCATATTATTTTAACAGCCCAGGGAATATTCTAAATGTATTTTCATATTTTATGACATGTTTAAAATGGCCATATTGCAGATTCTAATTAATTTGATACAGCTCAGTGCAGGATATTTAAATGATTGGTAACATTACTCAACTCTTTTTTTAAAAAAATGTTCTGTTTCATACAATCTCCAGATGAAAGCTGCTATGAACAAATGAATGCCCACCCTCACACATCTGCCAATGAAGTACAGGTATTACTATGCAGACTTGCTTTCTAGAGAAGGTTGACATTTTGCATCGGAGCGGTTTCTGTGAATGTAAATGCCAGAATCATATGTCCTGATACTCTTCGGTTGTCAGCTTGCTGCCCTTCTACTAGCAGAAGGCCTCTTCTGACCTCCAGGAAGAATGCTATTTAATAAAAGTCCCTTCCTCTCCCCGCAAACCAGTCTTTACGTTTGCACAAAGCTCTTTCCACAACCTTTCTAAGGCCCACTATTTGCACCTAATCCAGATGCCTTAAGGTGCTGCACTTCAAGTCGTCTTCTGCTAGTGCTTCTGTAAAAATTCACTGAATAGCCCCAATACATTTTCTCCTTATACTCCACAGTTACAGCAGTACCTCGGGTTACATACGCTTCAGGTTACATACGCTTCAGGTTACATACGCTTCAGGTTACATACGCTTCTGGTTACAGACTCCGCTAACCCAGAAATAATACCTCAGGTTAAGAACTGTGCTTCAGGATGAGAACAGAAATCGTGCTCCGGCGGTGCGGCAGCAGCGGGAGGCCCCATTAGATAAAGTGGTGTTTCAGGTTAAGAACAGTTTCAGGTTAAGAACGGACCTCCAGAATGAATTAAATACTTAACCCGAGGTACCACTGTATTGCGTTTACACTTAAAGTCTTTATAAACAGTTATTAAGCACCATCAGTGTGCATGGCACTATACAAAGTGGGTTGTTGTTTTTTTAAACTGTTGCAAACCTAAGAGTAAGACAAATAAACAATGGCTCCATTCACACTAGTTTATTCTGTTTTCTTTACATTTCCCTCACTCTTAATTTGAGCATTATATTCGAGCTTTCACACAACATAAGAGCCACTTCCGAGAAACTAATGAAGTATAGAGCAAGTTTACTGCTCGTTTCTGCTTTAGGTGATTCTGGAGAAATCCATTTGCAGCCCCCTAAACCTGGGGGTTTTGTGCAGTGATTTCCCAGCCTTTTCCACATGTTCATGCCACAGCCACTCATGTGACGAGCAGTGAGGTGGCATACTGGCATGCACTGTGCTACCTGCCCATTGCAAGGTGTGTACCTTTTGCCTGACGAGAAAGTGTGCTAGTGTTTCGGCACAGAAATCCATTCTAGGTAAAGCCTAGAAGAATGGCAGAAAGCGGAGGGAAAGGAATGGCATGGAGGAATGACAAGGGTGAATGACAACATGTCGGTCACAGAACAGGTGTGTTCAGTGTGAAAGTTAGAAAAGGGGACAGATGCGCTGGCCTTATAATCTGTTAAACTAATGTTAGAAACCCCACATACTGCAACCTCATATGTTCTTTTAAAAATAACTACAGTCCCATGACTAACGAATATGAATTACTTATTTTTTGCCTTCTTGTAGCAGACAGCTGAGCGTCAGATGTGCTATGCTTCCTTGGATCACAGTGTCAGGAGGAAACACAAAAACCCTCGAAAAAAGAAATATCCTACCTTGGAAGTGGATGAAGACCAACTCACCAGAAGCAGCAACTTGCCCTCAGACTCTTGCATTTACCTCAACAGTGAACAACTGAACACTGAGAATAAACTGTCTGAGGATCCAACTCATGAGGATCCTCACAAACTATTTGGGTTAATTCACACTATGAATGATGCCAATTTTTAGTAGGAATTTGGCCCAGCCAAGTTACTGTAGCTGATAAAATACTTGGAAAACTGGGTTGATACCAGGTAGCTTAAAAACTAATTAGCTGAATAGGAAGGATGTTCGTTCAGTAATAGTTCTACATTTATCTGACCTTGGACTAGCAGGGTCCATTGCCAAGTAGATGGTCAACTGAGAAATAATATACTCTGTGTGTTTGTTTGTTTGTGTGTGTATATATATATATAGGGGGGACGGGGTGGCGCTATGGTCTAAACCACTGAGCCTCTTGGGCTTGCTGATCGGAAGGTCGGCAGTTCGAATCCCCGCGACGGGTTGAGCTCCCGTTGCTCTGTCCCATCTCCTGCCAACCAAGCAGTTCGAAAGCCCACCAGTGCAAGTAGATAAATAGCTACCACTGTGAAGGGAAGGTAAACGGCGTTTCCATACACTCTGGCATTCATCACAGTCCTCCGTGTGCCAGAAGTGGTTTATTCATGCTGGCCACATGACCCGGAAAACTGTCGGACTGCTAGATCACATCAACTTCTTAATGGGAGACTTGACTGAACTGAAACTCTGTCTGACAGGGTGCTTATGTAGATAAGCCTGATTCACACAGGAAATTCCTTTTCTCCCCTCATACTGTTTCAGAGCTGATCCCATTCCCATAAACGGGTATGTACAAACCAGGGCACATAGCTATGTAGCTAGAGCACTAGTCCATAAAAGGAAGCCCTTAGGTCAGGCATAGGCAAACTCGGCCCTCCAGATGTTTGGGACTACAATTCTCATCATCCCTAGCTAACAGGACCAGTGGTCAGGGATGATGGGAATTGTAGTCCCAAACATCTGGAGGGCTAGAGTTTGCCTATGCCTGCCTTAGGTCTTATACCGGAAAGACTAAAGTGTTGCTAACTTTTCAACATGAACCTTGCCCATCCATTACGCATTTAGGATTTGCCACATTGTACATTCAGTAACACCATGCATATTGTGTGTCTAGTAACACGGTGCGATATTTAGGGCTAATTAGTGAATAATGTTAACAGCTTTGGTTCATCTAATTAACACTTGTACAACGAGCAGATTTAATGTCCACATATGTTTTGTTTCCTGCTGATAAGTACTGCTAGAGCCGATCCCCATTGCTCAACGAGTGTGTAATGTCTTGTGCATCTGAATTCAATTGTCTGGAAAGAAAGGGGTAAATGAGGTGTAAAAATAAATCTCCAAGGAAGAATTTGACATTCTTCTAGGTATTTGAATTATGACTACTGTATTTTTACACAGTAGTCTGTTTTATAATCTATTCCTTATTATTCCCCAGATATACTCACTTAGATTAGTCTAAGGATGTTCCTGGTAATAAATTTTTAAAAGATTTTTTAAGTCCGGTACTGAAAAAAGAGTTGCAGTTAAGCAAATTTAATCCTATTGAAATTGGTGAGTGGCATTTAAGTGCAGGCTGTTGGGAAAAAAGGCTGGTTGATTTAGGATTGAGTCTAATTGTAGCCTTAATGACCTGACACATCTTCTACTTGCCTTTTATATGCCGAAACATCTTTTGTTAGTTTAATGGTAAATATTTAGAGATGACATTTGCTCTGATTTTGTCCCCTTTGCCAAAATGTTTATTCAAAGTTATCCTTACCTAATGACCTAATCAAGTAAATTAAGAAGTTAACATTGTTGTTAATTCATGCTTGATCTGTAGAACTGCACAAATGCTAGTATATATTTGCCAGGCCATCTGGCAGCCCTTAGCATGCCAAATTTCTGTGCTGCCAAGCGTGTCTCAATAAGTAGTTCAGAATAAGTCTGCACTCAACTGGATGCACTGTAAAAACTACAGCCAGGCATTTTAATTTATTTTTTAACATGGGAGTGAAGTGCAACTTTCAAACAGCAGGAGAAACTAGCCATGTATATGTAAATAAATACATTCATTACAGCAATCGTATAGTGCTACCTTACATCAAAGCCCTGTCTGAAAAAGTCTCTAGGATTTTATCTAAAAGAATGCCAGGTCAATGCACATTTCACTAAGTCCCACAGTAGAAATTTTGAAAGGCATCTTAAATGATGGAAGTATAGATATATCTGATGGCAAGCTGCCATATTATCATTGTAATATACTGCTGCCCCAAAGCACTGGTATGTGCCATTATATGCTCTTATGTATTGAATACAGCTTACTGTTTATAAGGCGTTCCTCAAATGTCCAATGTATTCTCTGTAAAATAGGCTAGAATAATTTATTCAGTATTAGCAAGGGGAAACTGATAGCTAAGGCACTAAGATCAATGAATCCAAGAATTCCCTATTTGTAGTTCATAATAGCCACTAGTGCCAGATTTGGCTTTGCAGTAGAAATGGGTAAGGAAGCTCTGCTGGAGCAAAAAATGACTGTGCGCACATAAAAACAGAAGATTCAGCACCCACATTGTCTAGTCATTTCTCTGCTGGGAAATTGTTCCTTCCTGGGCCTACATGGTAAAGCAGCAGCAGCAGCTGGATGCAAAAATGAAATGGATATGGTAGGATGAAAGTTCTATCTGTACTGTACAGTACTGTACTGACCACTACTTTCTGCATTTCTAGAAATTTAAAAAATAGGACTGCAAGATTAAGGCTGCAATCCTTAACATATTTCTTCCCAGCTAGGATGTTGGTGACTAAAAAAGGCTGCTGCTTATTAACAAAAAGGAAACACAGAGCTATAAAAGTTAATCTGCTAATGGAATGTAACAAAATTCACACAACATATATAAAGGTTTATTAGGCAATTTAAGTGCCAAGTACTCGTAGATACATACATTAAAACACATTTGAAGCATACTATATTACATTATAAATCTTCACAAATTTAGCACTTTCAACAATGGAATAAAGCTCTGCTCATCCCTAGAGTAGCTCACTGAATAGTAAATTAAATGCATTAAATAGCCTGTTAAAACATTATTTCTACATTAAGAGTTGATTAGCCAAGCAAAACACAATAGAAATAGCTGAAATTACACCTGGAGAAAACAAAAAGAGCATTTGCTTCCATAAATGACACTCAAGCAATGATAAGCCTTCAAGAAGGAACAGTGCTTTCCCTTAAGACAGATAATACTTTGGCCCCTAGATGCAAACAGTTGCATTAACTGAATTCCAGAAACAGATGCTTACTCAGCTCCTTGAAGGATATGTAGCTCTCATATGACAAAACATATCTGCAATGGGTTAGATACTGAATTAGGGTAAGAATCATGGAACATGGCGCTCTCAGCTCCCTCTTCCCTCTGGAGATTCCTGCACCCTCCTGAATTCTGCTTCAGAAGGTTGAAGGAACATCTGGAACAGATGTGGTAGTACTGGTGAATAACAGGGAAAAGCATAATTGGTGAAAATTCCCTTGCTTCCATTCGTGAAAGGTCCACTAGATTCAAGTTCTTTTCATAAATGGAAGGGAACTTTTGCATTCAGTCAAACAGCTTTCCTCTTAAAAATCATGAATCTTCCCTGTAGTCATCCAGAAATGAACTTTCATAGTCTTCACACAGAAGTTCTTCCACATAAGCATTTCTTCTTCTGATTCTCCCGCCATGATAGCTGAGCCTTCTGGAAACCCTGAAAAGGAAAGAGGATCTTGTCTGTTCAAAATAGTAAAAGGTGCAGTAAAATGAACAGGCAGCAAACAAGTTCTTCCCAAAGACTGGGATATTTTTTGCTGTTTCAACGGAAATAAATAATAAAAAACAACAACACATTTCCCTCAATCTCCAGCTCCTTGCATAATACATTGGTGAATATTCATGGCATTTCAGATAAATCTGTACAAAATATAATCCATTGTATATCACATAAAAAGAGTGCAATAAGTAAAGAGACTTCATATTAAAGTTGCTAATTTTAAACCCAACAAAGTGCTGCAAGCTCAAAAGGATGCTATAGGTGCAGCAATTTCAGGATCTCTCTCAGTAATGGCATTTTCACTGTGGTAGACAGCATCTATTGTCTCTAGAAAAGTATTAACCATTTGGAGATGACTCCTGACTAATGCAATAAAACACCAATATAAAGTAACTCTTCAGTCATCCCTGAGTCATATACAAAAAAGTTGTGCTCATAACGGACTTCCTGCATTCTTTTAAATACCTTTCCGGTTTCCAAACCAACCCCCAATATTTGGCACACTACTGCCAAGACCATATTTCTCAAAAAGGAATCAGCACTGCAAAGGGGAGGGAAGAATGTATTAAGCCAACTTGACAATATGCTATCTATTATAATACCAATAAATGCTACACGGAAACACACTACCTTCAGGAGAGGGCTACCAAATTTCATCTGGTCCTAGCAAACTTGAAAGGAGCAAATTTAACACATTCATGTCAAACATCCAAAAGTTATTAGCAACCAATAAGTGGTCAGTTAGATGCCAGTCACATAAAGCACCAATGTGCAAAGTAGATTTTAAGACAAGTTACAGTGCAAGTCCTTCAACTCATCTTAGGTGTAGCTTATAGGAAACCATTATTGCTTCTCATCATCATATACTTTCACAGAGAAATACAGCAAAGGGATACTGAAAAGGAATTCAGGTGATACTTAACGGTGATGTATAGTTCTGTGATTTTCTTAGGGAATCACTATTTTGCACAAACGTGGGCATCTTTTCATCCACACTTGTAATTCTGGATTCTGTGATGAGATTAGATGCAGTAAGTAAAGCAAGAAATTTGCATGCTAATTATAAAAAAGCCATTTCTATACCACTTTATATTTTTAAGAAAAATCTCAAAGCGGATTATAGAATATTAAAACATCAATAAAACATCAATAAAGCCATCTGAAGAAAGTCAAATATAGAGTATAGAGTCAAACCAACATAATTAACAGAAAACTAAACTATAATCTTAAAGATTTCAAAATAAAACATTACAAAGGAGGTCAACTACAGAATACGTATTTAACGCAAACAAAGTTAACAAAAATACTTTAAATACTTTAAATCTTAGGAGGCTGAATAAATAAAAGGGAATTACAATGTTTTTGTAACTTGCTGGGAGAAAGTTTACCTGTTTGACAAAACGGGAAACAATGGTTAATTGGAGACTTCCTGATTTAACTGCAGCATGAATGAAGAGAGGAGCAAAGGGATGTCTGTACAAGCAAAATGATTCTGTGTATCTCAGCTTCCCCAGTTTTAATTTAAGAACTTCAGAACCAATACCCAAATTAAAAACAGACAAACCCAGATAATAATCACTGCAGCAGATGTGAGCATCACTCAGACATTAAAAATTACTGCTTCTTCCTTTAGAATGAGTGGAAAGGAACTTGCAGTTTCTGGGATGTGCCTGCAAATGTTTAAGAGTCCATGTAGCACTTTAAGTGTTCTATCACAGTTCTCATGCTTTTGCTTGTGTAAGATGTGACATAGATAGAACACTTTGGTTTTACAGTGCAATCCTAATCATGTCTAATAAGCGAGTCCGATTCCATTCAATGGGACTTACTCACAGGGAACTGAGGTTAGGATTGCAGCCTTAGGACTTATCCACACTTACATTTCCTGTTTTTTTCTAGGCACAGTCCGTGCTTTAAAGCACTGAGCCCCCCCTTTTTTGCTCCAGAGCTTTCTTTGTGAAAATCCACTCTTTAAAGCTCAATTGGAGTAAACAGCAATCCTTGGAAACCCAAACAGATGTTTGCTCTGTTTGAGTGCTAAAGAGTGGGTTTCCATGGGGGAGGGACCCACACCCAGACATGGCGTTTTAAGTGCAGAACTATACCTGGAAATAGCAGGGCAAAAGGTAAGTGTGAATAAGCTCTTAGTGTCCATCCTTCTTTTCACACAATGCTCTAGCCACTAGTTTTAAAAAACAACCCTGCCACAAGTAGGACATCTTTGGGACTAACACACTGAACTGAACTAAAGGGCTACAAACAAGCCAACCAGACGAAAATACACACAGTGGAATACTGACTGGAATATAAGAGCTTTGTTTTTGTTTGTTTTTTGCTTAGCTCAAGAAAAACCTCTTTTTCAAATCTGGAAATCCCCCGTTTGCTTGGCTAACAGCCTAACAATTCAGTAAGTCAATGCTTATGTTTGACATGTATGCATGTCTAGATTTAGGTTCAATTTTCTACTGTTGTATTTAAAATAAGCAGGCCATGTGAATGGAGTATTACTTCTAAGACTGAAAAAGGTTTCAATAATTTCCATGAATATTTTAAGTTTTCCAGCTTTATCCAGTCAGTACCAGGAGCAACTTTCTTTAAAAACCTCCAACCCCCCCATCCCTAAGTATTTAACTGCACTCTGTCCATATCTATTTCCCCCCTGGAGCAACCCACATCCCTAAGTATTTAACTGCACTCTGTCCATATCTATTTCCCCCCTGGAGAATTGCCCATCAATGGACCTGGGAAAGAGAATGGGTACTTTCTAAACAATGGTTATCTTCTGCTGTGGAACACCTCTAGGCGATTCTTATTCTATTGTTCTTTCATATACAGCTGATGCCCCCCCAAAGGTTTTTCAAATTAAAGCTGGCCAAGTAACTAAAGACTGGATAGCTCTTGGAATCACAAGAAATGATGGGCTAGAGAAAGAATGGGCCTCCTGTCAAAGATCTAGAGAGAGCTGCTTCAATTTCCTCTGGACAACGCTTATTCAATACCATAGATTACTCTCTCATATTTAAAACCTACCTTTTATACAAGTACTTGGAACAGCCATAAAGGTGTGATTTGAAGAAATACAAAACCCAGAATCCTGAAAATAAAATGTTGAAATATTAAAAATGATGCAGTTTTACAATATGGATTATCATCCAGGGATTATGTTAATCAATGTCAATTAGCTTATTTTCTGTCTCAGTTTGCTTGCTTTATATTTGTGGTAACTGGGGGCATATTTTTCAGAAGATTGGGAAAACCTGAATATTCCTTTCCCCCTCCCCTGCTTCATACACATTCTGTTCAGTTACCAAGATACAAAGTGATGCTGTTCTTTAGTACCATAATTCACTCAAGAAAGAGTGGGATCGGGGACACTTATAATAAGACTTCTAGCCCAGTCCTATGCAAGCTTACTTGAAACAAGTTCTGGAAATTTACATTTTATCTACTTCAGGAATCTTGTCACTGAGGGAATACTTAAGTGCCTTTCAGTTTGGAGTACTTTTTCATATATTTCAAAGTCAATAGTTTACTTACCATGTTTGAGGTCCAATTATTGGCATTAGGAGTATGAAGTGTAAAAGTCATGTCAGTTTTCTGAAGATTGTTTTTCCAGTAAGGTAGCTTCTGTCTTATTCGATAAGGTGAGTTCTCAGATATATTTTTTAATCTTTTCAACGGTGAAGTCTGAGAGTCTTCAATGCAGAAGTTTGCTGCTCTTTTAATTCTGGCAACTGCAGGTAAAGTTCTTACAGGAGAATTAACTAGGGCATTCACTGTGTCAGACATTGGGATTCCTTCGTATTTTTTTAAGTTTGCAGCACGCATAAATGTAGGAATTTTTGGAAGCCCTTCAGAACACAATTTCTGATATATACTCTCAATCATATTTTTACGTTTCTGATTAAAATTTGAAGAGAGGCTTTTAAAACCAAACTTGCACAGTTCTGGAGACTTCCTAGGACTTGTGCATATAGTTGAGCACTTAAATGGTTTTCGCATCTTTGAACAACAAAGCTCCTTATACATTTTTTGGAAGGCATCGTCACATTTCTGGTGAGTTTTGATGGGACTGCAATTAACAGGAAGTGATGAAAATGAATGACTTCGCTGTAGTGAAACAGCTTTGTTGAATGTTTTAATTTCATGATTCCCAGGTAATCTATTTGAAGTTTTCACTGGAGAAGACTTGTTATTCTGCAAGACACAGCTTATGCTTCTATTCAAAGGCAAGCTTAAACATGATGTAGCATTGAATGTCCTAGTGCTCATCTCAGTTTTATAACCTTCTGCTAGATTAAATGTTGTTCCTGTATCTACAGTGCAAATTGAAGAGTAGTCTTCAAATGTTTGAGCCTTTCTTCCAAAGTTTGACAATGAAGGGATATAAGATGCAGTTCTGACCAGAAATGTTTCTTCTGTAGAAAGATCCCTAGGAAAAATGGTGGTCTCCACGCCATTTAGTCCGACATTCTCTGTGTATGAATGATCTTCTACGATGCCAGAAGCATCCATTTCCACACTATCTGTATTATAGTCCATGGAAGATACTACGTTAGTTGCCTTGTTCATTGAGCATTGCATTTCATGATTGCCATCATACGAAGGACTAATTTGCCCATTATTTGCCATGGACAATTGATATCCCTTAGAATCATCTTCTCTAATTGTCAAGCTAGACTTCTGTTTTAATTGTCTGGACTTCCTTACTCTCTCTGTACTGGTATTAAGCTTTGTTTTCTTAGGGTGCCAATAGCCGTATCTGTACCGTTTGATCAATGAATTAGAAGAAGCTTCGCGGGATGCTTTATGCAACAATCTGCTAAGTGCCTTCACCATTCCTGGATACAAGTCTACTATTGTTACATTATTCCAAGAACAATGCTCATCCGCAGACTCGTACATTTCTAAAAAGCTACTGCAGGCAGTTTCATTTCTACCCCCAAGAGACTGATTTTCAGGCTGAATTGTCATAATGTCTGAGCCTGCAGCAGCAGAGTTGGACAGCTGCAGAGATGTTGATGCAGGATGCCCATTTATAGATTCTGTTTGCTTCCTCAGGACCACATCATGGTGACCTACTAGACCAAATAAAGAGACGTATAAGTACTAATACTTAATCTTTTTTTTAAAACGTTAATACTATTGCTAATGATGTTCCAAACAAGCTATAATGTAAGAAAAGAAATTTAAAATAAAAAGGCACTAACCACATTTTTAAATTACCTAGGATTTTCTCAGTTCCCATTGGGAAACCAGATATTTTCTATGTGTTTTAAGAAACAATCATTGTCATGATTACTTTTAAATTAAATTTTGTAGCAGCAATTTATAATTTCACTTGATAATGAGGCAATGCACTATTTAATGAAGATACTGGCACTCTCTACCTAGTGAAATCAAGTCTACATAGCTTCAGGCACCAATTTAAGACTATTTCAGAAAGCCATCTTATGAAAATTATATATATATATATATTTGTGAGATGACCCATTTTTATATTTGTTTCTTTAATGTATTTTTGATTTTTGTCATTTTTGTTTTAACACATAGATATATTTTTATATGATTTTGCAAGTATGCAAGTAAATAAATATATGAAACAAATTACTGGTAACCCCTTTAAAAGACCCCCAACTCTGATCCAAAGGATGTCATGCAGTCTAATAAGTTGAGAGCTCCTACATAAACTCATATTCCCACTCCGATCAATATCACAGGGACATCTCTACACACATAACGGTTAAATGAGACAGAATTTTCTCCAGCAATGTAGAAACTTCAGTAAAGATTCTATGTATATAGATATGCACAGTTCTTTAATTAGGCCGAATTGCTGCATTCATCATTCTTCAAATCCATCCAATAACTAAAAAAATCAAACTATAGTAAAGCATTTTTAAGCTAAAAAAAAATCAGAGATTTAGAATCCTCATTTTGCTTATCCTCAAAGAATAAAATTGGTTGAAAAACTGTCATTTGTCCAAAGCTATCCAGTAAATTTCAAAGCTAAATGGGAATCTGAGGCTGCATATCATACATCTAAACACAGCTTAAGCCACTGCACCATGTTGCCTCAAATTAATGTCAATCTATGTAATTTAACTACATATAGCTAGGAGGAACATGGAACAAATTGCTTTGTAAGACAGCACGAGAAAATACGACATCCTTTGACATAAAGCAGCATTCAATTTACTACAGCTGATAGAGAGTACTAGACACCTGTTACCTGTTAATCTGTTCATAATGATACTTTAGGGTGTTGTAAAGTACAGGTTTATTACCATACACCTGTAAGCATGTTCATTTAAAATTATCTAGAGTGCTATCCTTATAAAAATTGTTTGCAGCTGACTTAAACAATACAGCATGCTACAGTAGAATCTAGGGGATGCAGGTGGTGCTGTGGTCTAAACCACAGAGCCTAGGGTTTGCCGATCAGGAGGTCGGCGATTCGAATCCCCGTGACGGGGTGAGCTCCCATTGCTTGGTCCCAGCTCCTGCCAACCTATCAGTTCAAAAGCACAAAGTGCAAGTAGATAAATAGGTATTGCTCCGGCGGGAAGGTAAATGGTGTTTCTGTGCGCTGCTCTGGTTCACCATAAGTGGCTTAGTCATGCTGGTCACATGACCCAGAAGCTGTCTGCAGGCAAATGCCGGCTGCCTCTACCTATAGAGCGAGATGAGCGTGCAACCCCAGAGTCGTCCACAACTGGACCTAATGGTCAAGGGTACCTTTACCTTTACTGTAGAATCTAGCTACAGTGGTACCTCTGTTTACGAACTTAATTCGTTCCGGAGCTCTGTTCTTAACCCGAAACCGTTCTTAACCTAAGGCGTGCTTATGCTAATGGGGCTCTTGCTGCCGCACAACTTCCACTCACACCCCGGGGCAAAGTTCGCTACCTGGAACACTTACTTCCAGGTTAGCGGAGCTCGTTACCCAATGCGTTCATAAGGAGGACGGTACATAACTTGAGGTTCCACTGTACTGGAAATGAGCTACTAAAGGAAAACAAGTTCTGGCAGTGGGCTCATATCAGCCACCAGAGTGTTATACAGGGGTCGAGGGAGACGAACCAGATACTTCCATGCTTGTGAACAAATGCCAAGGCTCTGGACAGTATGGAGTTACTGTAGGGACAGGAGGGACCACAGATCAGTGGTGGAATATATGCTTTGCACAATGAAGAAAATACTTCTTCATGCAGTGCATAGTCCAACTATGGAGCTCACTCCCCTAGGAGGCAGCCAAGGTCACCAACTTGGATGGCTTTAAAAGAGGATGGAGAAGAGGACTATCAACAGAAGGAGCAATGCTTCTGGATTCCAGATGCAGGAAACCACAAGAGGGGAGAGTGCTCTTGCGCTCATGTTCAGCTTGCTGGTTTCCTACAGGCATCTGGTTGATTACTGTGAGAACAGGATGTTGGACTGGATGGGCCATTGGCCTGATCCAGCAGGCTCTTCTTATTTTCAGAGGTGGGAAGTACTCGTGCCAGAAGCCATGAATAACTACTGCCAATAAGCATAGACAGTGCTGTGCTAGTTGGACCAGTGCTCTGACAGGTAGGTAAAGTGCTCTGACAGGCCATGGCACAGCATTAAAAGCCCTCCATGGCTTCCAGCAGAATGCTGGACCACTCAGGTCCTGAGCAGTTGCTCTTGCAGCACTAAAGGTCCAGCTGAAAAAAGAATGGTGGTGGCGGCGGGGGGAAGGAGGAGATGTTGCAGTCCTTACAAGGCCTTTTCATAGCAGATGCAAAGGAGCAGGCTGGAGTTAGCTAAACAGATATGCTCTTACAGCCATTGCTTGTCAAAGGAGCCATAGCAGGTAAGTACATGCTGGTCCAGTTGGTCTTTGTATACTCCACAAAAAAACTCAAGAGCTAGACTCATATGTAGCTCATTTCCAATTCAGATAACAAAGTTTCTAAAAACATCAATTAATTAGGTTTTATAAGAAGTGCTTAGCATTATGGTACGGAGCCAGCCAATCAGAGCTAGCATTTGGGCTCATTAGATTGGAAAGTTTGTTGTGCCAGCCTTCTTATGCAAGTAAACCATTTAAAGGTAAAGGTACCCCTGCCCGTACGGGCCAGTCTTGACAGACTCTAGGGTTGTGCGCCCATCTCACTCAAGAGGCCGGGGGCCAGCGCTGTCTGAAGACACTTCCGGGTCACGTGGCCAGCGTGACAAAGCTGCATCTGGCGAGCCAGTGTAGCACACGGAACGCCGTTTACCTTCCTGCTGGTAAGCGGTCCCTATTTATCTACTTGCACCCGAAGGTGCTTTCGAACTGCTAGGTTGGCAGGCGCTGGGACCGAGCAACGGGAGCGCACTCCGCCACGGGGATTCGAACCGCCGACCTGACGATCGGCAAGTCCTAGGCGCTGAGGCTTTAACCCACAGCGCCACCCGCGTCCCGGCAAGGTAAACCATTTACTTCTCCTTTAAACACTATTTTTCAGTAAAACATTTAGGATTTGTCATGATGCTCACCACTCAAGGATTCACCTCCCAGATTTTGCAAAGGAGACCATTGGTAAACACTCTTTGCTCTGGGTCTTGTAACCTAAGCCAAAATTCCAAAGGTAGATAGTCAGTAAACAGAACTTAAAGATCTGCAGAAAGACACAAGCCTTAAATGACTAAGCAATTAAACGCAACTTGAGATATACATCCTATGTACTATAGTTTGATGCTTTCCAAATTGAGTATGTGCCAAATAATATATTCAGACTTAAAATATTACGTAACAGTTGCATTTTTATACCCCATTTATTATGTCCCAGGCCAATGGGATTGAAGCACACACAGGAAGAACAAAATCCCATCTCAATAACTATTAACCTGGTTTCATACTTTATGGCTATTAGGGTGTCAGTACAGGAGAATTACACTTAAGTCTTCCCCATCCATTTCAATAGAAACACAGGAATGTGTACAGATAATGTACCTCCAAGAGAAAAAAATAATAAATGGGGAAGACAGGAAAACTGAACTGCACATAGAAATCTGGACTTGCATTACTAGCTATAAGTTTAAAGATTTCAATACAATCAGCTGAACAGTTACCGTAAGTAATTTTGGACCAAAGTAGACACTATTCTCCAACAGAACATCCATTTTGACTTGGTATTTATTCTTTGCAGGTGTTCCAGAAAAGTATACGAGAGAGGTATCTTCCTTTTGTTAAAAAAAGAGTGAATAGAAGTTGAATCAAGATGTTGCGTGGGCCTTCCACCCAAGAGTGTTGTTGTTTTTTATGTTGAACCAACAAGGATAGTACACACAAACAATGTAGTCTACTCTCATTCTTGTTGAGGGTTTTGCCCTTAAGGCTATGTTTCTAAATCCATATGTGACAAAGCCTTTTTAAGCTGTTTGAACAGGCTGCACATTCCATTTATCTCATCCTACCAGGTTTCAGTAATGCCTATTAGGTCATATTTGCTTGTCTGTATTAACATCTCAAGCAAATTATTATTATTATCCCTCCTTGATTTCCATAGGTACCACTTGCTGTACATGGCAATGACCAATATTTTCTCTTCTCTCTTAAACTAGAAGAAACCCAGAATAATGACTGCAGTCCCTGTAATAAGGAAGAGAAAGGCTTTTCATATACTATTCACTCAAACAGCCACAGTAGTACACTGTGATCAAGAATTTGGAAGGGAATCACAGCTTTTGAAAAGTAAGTAAGAGCAAACCAGAACTCATGGCTATAGTTTCATAAACACAGGCAGAACCTACGGAATATTCAGAAAACTTTTGGCAGAACTCAGGGGAGTTTCGAGTTCAGAGCCACTCCTCATATTCCTTGTTTCCTGCCAGTCTTCTTCCTATTCGTATCTCTCCTAAGACAAATATCCTAAAATTTCAAATGTCCAAATACTGTAACCAAAATTCTCATTTACCTTGATATGCATATTTTCCAAATGTCTTTGAATGGATGCCGATTCAACATCACTTTTGTGACCTACAATTCAAAGTTAAAAAACAAAACATATCTCAAATATAAGATTGCTTCCAATTTCTTTGATAAAAGAAATTTGTACAAAATTTAACCTGGGCACAAAACCTCAAGGCATTGAACTATACAATATTCTGTTTCCAAAGACTGACAATAGTCTCTGGGTTTATTATTCCCCTCATTGCTAGCACACCTCTCTTTGGGTGTTACTTGGATGAAGCAGGTAAATGTGGTGAAAGTAGCTGTAGGCTCGTGCAATTTATAACCCTGACTGCCCAGGAATTTAAATCACACAGGGAGTCTCAAGCACAATGCAGAGTCCCCACTTTAGATGTTATGCCTCTGTAGGTACTATGAAGGAGTCACACAACTCTGGGAAAAGGGGCAAACTGCACAACGTCAAAACCCCCTTCCCTGCAACCCCTGAAGGAAGAGATTGTGAAGCTTATATATTGTCCCAAAGCCATTTCATTACTCTCACCTCTTGATAGTTAACTGTTTAATAGGGATGAGAAATGTTTGAATTAAAAGTGCTGTTCTTTCTTTCCCATCCTTAAGGTAGGGCAGAGACCAAAAACAGAAGGCGGCTCATGAATATGCCATGCAGAAAAGCTGCTGGGTCAAAGTTAGGGCTGTAGAAGGGGCTACAGTGTGGCAACAATACAGGATTCAGCAAATGATAAGACAAGTAGTTGATATTGCTCCTTAAGTTACTGACTTTGATAAGTCCAAGCATTACCCCAATTTGGTTACTGCTGTATTAGCTATCTCACTTACAGAAGAAAACTTTTGATGAAGGGTTCAACTGTTTGAACAAGAAATGAGTCATGCTCAAAAAAAGGAAAAAGAAAAAAAAGAGAAACCATTTTCCAGTTAGGGTGCATGTCACAACCTTAATGTACAAATTTATGTACAAAGACTATAGATTCCCCCCTCCCCCAGAAATTGGAAAGAAATAATGCAGAACAATCATTGCTCAGTGGCATATAATAATTTTAAAATGCATGTGATCATCTCTCTCAATTGTCATCCACATCCAAGACAGCTTAGATTAGTCCTATAAATAAATTGCATGCTCTTCCACCAAGCCTGCCTTACCTGTATCAAGTAGGCTCTTTCCACACGAGTCCATGGACTGTTCTTCATTAGGTGACTTAATAATTGCAAAAAACAAACAAAAAACAACAGCCCTGTATTAGCTAAATTTGGGCTAGAAAATCAACTTTAATATTAGAGTCAATGTATGGGGATGTAATGGATCTTCATTCTACCAAACTCACATATTTACTGTACTTGATTTAAACATTCGATCAAATGCTAGCATCACTCCACATAAACCTGTGATGACTATGGCTGTCAACAATCTAACTGTGCAATACATATATTGCTTCAAAAGGCTTAGGCAAGCATTTTAAAATATATACTACACATTTACCTGCCCCCCACCTTCTCAATGCACAGGCAATATCATATTACCTTCAATTATTTGTACACTTTTCTTGCTACTAACAAAAATATAAAGTTACGGGATGGGAAGATTAATCTCCTTCTAATGGAGAAGAGGGCAATTGAGGGCTACTAGCCATGATAGCTATGTTTTGCCTTCACAGTTGGAAGGAGCAATGCTTCTGAATACCAGTTGCTGGAAACCACAGGAAGGGGAGAGTGCTCTGGTGTTTGAATCCTGCAGGTTTCCCACAGGCATATCTGGTTGGCCACTGTGAGAACAAGATGCTGGGTCATTGGCTGGATCCAGCAGATAAAGGATTCGTGCAGAACTGTAAGTTTCAGGCAAATTCTAAATGCAGAAGCACACAGCTTTAGCTGAAGCTGTTTTCATGAATTTTACAGGGTGTGAAGCTATTCAAGACTGCAGGGTAAGTGCCAATAAGTTGGCACAAGCTATATAATATTGTTTGGGGGCATTTCTCTAAGCAAGGGCAGTTTTCTTGCACGTTTCTTAATAGGGTTAGAAAAGCACCCTACAGCTCTGAGAGTTTGGGTATTGTTAAGCACACTTCTGACACCACAGAAACAATATTTTATAGGGTTGCAGTTCTACCCTGCCCTACACTGGAAATCTCAATGGGATGGAAAGTACATCCCTTAAACCTGTTAATGTTATTCTCCCCACACCATGTTGGATGAAGGTTCATAGCTACATGAAACTGCTGAGAACAGTCATTAGGAGCTTTGGTACTATCAGTACACTGATGACACGGAGCTCTGTTTCTGCATAATAACTGAATCAGGAGAGGCTGTGTGAGCCCTAGACCAGTGTCTGGATGCAATGGTGGGATGGATGAGGGAAAATAAACTGAGCTTGAATCCTCGTAATGCACTGTGAGTGAATGGTTCCCATGGTCTACCCTGGACAGAGTTGTGTGTGTGTGTGTGCGCTGGATCCAGCTTTGTCACTTGATGCCCAGGTAGCCTCAGTGACTGTTTCAGGACTGGAAGAGCTTGACCACAGTAGTTTAGGTACTGGTGACTTCAACACTGGATTACTTCAATGTAAGTCTTCTCTTTTGCTACATTTAGTTCTGAGCACTGCAGTACAGTTGCCAACAGAAGTGAAAAACCTTGTGAGCATATAACGGATCTGGTCAGAGATCTGCACTGGTTGCCCATTTGACACCAGGTCAAGTCGAAGGCGTTACTATTAGTATATAAAACCTTTAATAGCTTGGCACGTTTACTTGCAGGATCACCTTGGCCCAATACAGGGGTACGTTGGTTCTCAAACATCTCTGTTGACGAACGTTTCAGAACCCGAACGCCAAAAACCTGGAAGTAAATGCTTCCATTTCTGAATGCGCCTCAAAAGTCGAATGACTTCTGCGTGTTTTTCAATTTTCTCAATTACATTTGTGGGCAGCCATTTGCGCCTCAGTTTTTGAACGTTTCAGAACTCGAACGGTCTTCCGGAATGGATTACGTTCGAGAACCGAGGTACCACTGTATATATTTCATAAAAATTATAAACTGTTTGATTGTAAAAACTTCCAAGTGGTTTACAAAAAATACTCGCTAGACTGGTTCGAGCTATGGAACTGGCACTGTTGCATGTACCACAATCAGTATTTCTGTGTGGCAGCGCCTACACTTTGAAACTTCCTGCCTAGCAACATCAGCCAGGCACTTTCTCTGCACTCTTCCTTCAGTGACTGTATTATTTCCTCAATATGCCCATGAACAGGATCCCGGAACAGACCCCATTCAAATACAACTGCAGAAAAAAGTAGATGGATAACTATTCTGGTTGACTGCCGTCATGGGTCCTACATACCCGATACTCCTCGTAGTTCTCATTTTCAGAGTCAGAGGCCAGCTGCGTCTCAATTTCTTAATTGAAAAAGAAGTAATTGAAATTATAAAACTGAAGATAACAGCTCTCTCTTCAGTGACAGGTTACAATCAGTCCACATAGTCAAAGGTAGCCACTTGGCTTTCCCAACTGAGAACCCCTGCCCCACTTTACAAATTCTATGGAGAAATCTCCATTTAAACCTGGCTGTACAGCCACCTCTATTGTAGTGACTGTTCTGAATGGGGAAATGATTCATGTGATCCTGGAAATGGTTGTTTGTAGCACAAGACTCAGTTTTGCTACACAAGCGCAATGCAAATTTTTGAAATCTAGATCTTACACCTACATATATGCAACCGAGTCGAATATATATTTAAATAGTTCTCATAGGCAGTTAAATAAAATTAGGCATAATACAGGTTCCATCACACCAACACTAGAGTATACATCAAAGAAACTGCCTTCAAGTCCCATGAAGTTGATGCTTAACACAATATCCTTAGGAATTAATGAGATCTGGTAAGTGGCAGGTCTTAAAGGGAGGAAGGTCAGCTCTTCTAATGAAATGCATTGCACCCAGACACTTTTCAGAATAATAATAATAATAAGAAGAAGAAGAGTTTGGATTTGATATCCCGCCTTTCACTCCCTTTAAGGAGTCTCAAAGCGGCTAACATTCTCCTTTCCCTTCCTCCCCCACAACAAACACTCTGTGAGGTGAGTGGGGCTGAGAGACTTCAGAGAAGTGTGACTGGCCCAAGGTCACCCAGCAGCTGCATGTGGAGGAGTGGAGACGCGAACCCGGTTCCCCAGATTACGAGACTACCGCTCTTAACCACTACACCACACTGGCTCACATAAGTACAGGCAATCCCCCCCCCCATTTATGTGTGTTCTATTTGTGCGCAACCAAACTGGTAAGTGATCCCAAAACATCACAAAAGGGGGAAGACCTGGGTGGGAAGGGGCGGTACAGGGTACCTGCAGGTTTTGACAGTAATTGCTTGTAATTCAAACATATTTGGGTGAGCCATAAAACACATTTAAAAAGCAATTCCATAACAACTGAAGAATTAAGCTCAAGTGACCATTTTATGAATACCTTGCAAGAATGAACAATTAGATTCTGCTTTGTAACATAAAAGACTCATAAAGTCTTTCCAAGTGAAAAGCAGGCTTTTTAAAAAAAAGACACAAATACATTCATATGAAGAAACAGTACACTGATAAAGCTAAACATATATCCAATAAAAATAGCCAATTTTATATGGTATTTTCCCCTTTGCAATAGCTTAAATTAAGATTACAGCAAGATTATCAATCTGTAGATTTAGTACAAAAAAGAACAAAATCATGTATCTTAAGCCAAATTAATCTTCTTTCATAAAAACTGTTGACTATTTGCAAGCAGTTATTTTTTAAGAGCCAACTCTAGAAAGGAATACTGTCTCAGATTTATAATTGATCTTTTTCTTTCACCATTAAGAACCATTAAAGCTAAATCTTTACACAATTTAAACATACAAGTATTGCAGAAATTTCTAAGATTTCCCTTACCTGTGTTTTCCTGAAATGGTACAATATTCTGTAATATGAAAAGCAAGAAAATTTCAGTGCATAAAAATTATTTCTTGTACAAAAAAAGGCACCGTGCTTTCATTTTCAAAAGAATGCATTTTTTTTCTTTAAAAGATCCTCCCATTCAGAAATAAGCATATTGTAAAATTGCTTATGCCTGTAACCCTTTGCCTATTGGTCTGGAAACATGAAGGATACTGATAAAGATTTTCATTTGGTTAATTACTGACAGATTCAGGGCAAGCAGGCAGCATGATCTGCCAAGAATTCTAATACTTGAAATATTTTGATATACAATTTCTCCACACACTGCCAAACTCAAGTCACAGGGCAAAATAATTAGGGACAAAGATAACAGTTTTCATATTTCTTAGTTACAGTGGTTCCCAAGCTTCTTTCCCCATGGATCACTTGAAAATTGCTGAAAGACTTGGCGTACTACTTAAATATAATTCTGCTTGCTATAGCACCTGTAATGTGCTGTGCTAGATGCTGCATAATTTTTATTTTATTTTTTGCTTTATTTCTTCTATTGGATGTTAATTGTATTACAATATGAATTCCATAGAACTCAAATATGAATTCCATAGAATTCAAATTGTTAAGTGTCCTTTACACTTACACACACACACACACACACACACACACTGAAAACTACTTGAATGAAGCTCATGAACCACTGGAAGTCCGTGGACAAGTTTGGAAATCCCTGTCTTAGCGCACTGAATTTGACACATCTGCACTGTATCAAGTGAATTATCTTCCTGTAAGTCTGGAAGGGTAATTAAGACAAAATGTGAGAATTTTGTTCTGAAGACTGGTATCACCAATTTAAATCACCCCACCAGCATTTCGGATTGCAGGTAAAACCACAAAAGCTGTGTTTTCATCAGTCAAATGTCTCCATTGATTCGAGCACTGTACAACAATGAAAACAAATTTCATTGAGCTAATTGGATGTGCTCATTTTGGTATCAGCTTTACCAATGGTCTGAAATTTAAGGAAAAGAGAAAACTAAATGAGAGACAGCTATATTCTCCAACTTAAGTTCATAAATCCTGAAGAGAATCTATGGCTTTTTTTTTTATTCAAGTTGCCACAGAAACATTGTTTAAAAATACTGTTATAGCTATGCATCCAGTCTCCCAATGATATTTCTAGATTTTTAATTTGTCACAATAACTTACAAAACATCAAAATACAGTCATTGCAAGTTATGCATTTACAGTACCTGAGAGCGATCTATAATTTCGGTGCTTGTCTGTTGCTCTTCTCCCCAAACCCTTGGCCCTAGAAACGATACAAAAATTTCTACAATAAATGCCACATGCATAAGAATTTGTTAGAACAGACATTTGTGATAAACAGAGGAGTAATGTTAATCTTTTGCAATAAGCATAGTAAAGTCTTGTAGCACTCTGAAGACTAATTCATTCTGGCATAAGCTGTCATAGACTACAGTCCACTTCATCAAATGCATGAAGAGATATACAGTGGTACCTCAGGTTAAGAACTTAATTCATTCTGGAGGTTGGTTCTTAACCTGAAACTATTCTTAACCTGAGGTACCACTTTAGCTAATGGGGCCTCACACTGCCGCACAATTTCTGTTCTCATCCTGAAACAAAGTTCTTAACCAGAGGTACTATTTCTGGGTTAGTGGAGTCTGTAACCTGAAGCGTCTGTAATCCGAGGTACCACTGTACTGGATTGTATGTCCCTATATACATGGTTGGGTAGGGAATTGTAAAAAGTAAGCTCAGAATTAAAATTCACAGAAATACAGTGACCTAAGAGTGGTGTCAGGTAACTGCCATCGGAGCCAGAGGGAGAGAGAGGGCTCCAGAGGGATTCCGGAGAGTGTCCCGGGAGGGAGAGAAGCAGCACATCTTCTGGGGAAGGAAATCAGCGTAGCACCAGTGGAAAAGGGGGGCAGATGGGGGAATCGGCGAGGTGGCTCCATGAGCACGGGTCCTCCGCTGCCCACACCCTCCCTGCGCAGAAGGCTTCGCGCAGGGAGACTAGGCGGAGACTAGGCGTCAAAGAGCTTCTTTGCTGGAAGAAGTTCAAGAAACACCCACTGACGGATTCTGCCAGCGATTGAGACAGCCACGGGCAAGTGGCTGTCCAGACAGAAAGGGTTCACTCAGGTAACCAGCCAGGTGTGGCGCCGATTTACGCACAAGCAACCCCTAGAACCATTACAAGTGGCAATCCACAAAACAGTTTCTGATGACAGATCGCTCCTGCTTTGCCACCGATTCTTTCCAGCACAAAGCAACAAACCACGATTCTTAGCTTAGTATTATATCTGAACCAAATCATAATTTATTTTGCTCCATGCAAACTACGGTTTGAAGCCACGGTTTCTTATTGGCTTCAGGTAGTCATTTTGTTTGCAGTGAAATAAACCCCAATTTTGAAACAATGCTAGGCAAAGATTGTGGCTATCTCACTTGTGCTAGGGGAAAAGCAAAATAACAGCAATTTGTTTATTCATAGTAAACAGTTAACCATGACTTATGGCATGCAAGCCCTATCACTGTTATGTATAGTCACACTGTTACAACAAACGTCAATGTTTCCAATCAGTCTTTGATTCAATAAAGTGTGATACATTTTCATCAGACTTTGTAAATTGCACTACAGACACAGCATCCACACAGGTTTCAAAAAGTCTCTATACTATGTTTTTATAAAGGCAAACTAGAATATAGTAATCAATAAAAGCGATCTTACCTTCAGGTGTATCATAAGTCAATGATCTGATAGAAATGACCATGTCATCATCAAAGGGGAAGTTGTACTGGATTAAAAGAAACACACACCATTTTTAAGACTACAGTGCTAGAGATTATAATAAAAGCTTTTTTGGGGGTAAAATTCATACATTATTAAACCTCCATTCAAGCCTCTAACTAGTCTACTTGCAAGTTAACTCACTCCTATCTAGTTGGAAGTACACAGGGCCCAACTACATGTTACATGACACATCCGTGATGGAACATCATCATCATTATTATTTGAATTTATGTACCGCCCTATACCCGGGGGTCTCAGGGGAATTCACAGAATAAAATCAGATATAAAACCATAACATACATGATAAAAATAAAAACAACAAACCCCACCCCCAATCCAACATTTTGATTTTTACATTAAGGCAGTGTGTCCAAATTTGGCTGAAACAGACAGACAGATAGGGCTGGATTTAAGTTTGATGAGATTTAGGTTGTTGCTGTTTTTTGTGTTGAATATATGCTATATGGTAATTTATGGACCTAATAGGTATCTAAAGCCATTTGCACATAACAAGTAGGAGCCCACACAACACAAAAAAATGTTACTGTATGTAGGTTTTATTTTATTTGTTTTTTATCTTATATTTTGGAAATGTAGACCCAGGTGTTTTTTTCCTTTACATTTTTTGGTGGGCCCCCAAGAGAGTGGGCCCCTAAGTTGTAGCTTGTCTGAGACAGACAAAAGTTAGCCCTTAAGAGTGCAAGAATTATGGTGCTGGAGGAGACTCTCCAGAGTCCCATGGACTGCAAGAAGATCAAACCTATCCATTCTTTAAGGAAATCAGGCCTGAGTGCTCACTGGAAGGACAGATTCTGAAGCTGAGACTCCAATGCTTTCGCCACCTCATGAGAAGAGAAGACTCCCTGGAAAAGACCCTGATGTTGGGAAAGATTGAGGGCATAAGGAGAAGGGGATGACAGAGGACGAGATGGTTGGACAGTGTTCTCGAAACTACCAGCATGAGTTTGACCAAACTGCGGGAGGCAGTGGAAGACAGAAGTGCCTGGCGTGCTCTGGTCCATGGGGTCACGAAGAGTCGGACACGACTAAACGACTAAACAACAACAACAAGGGTGCAAGGAACATTGCTGGAAGGAAGGGAGGGAGGGAGAGGGACCGAAATTTGACATTTCAATTGCATTTATTAATTATCTCCCCGCCCCATGACGTCACACAGCAGGTATTTCGAACGTTTCTCCACTTAGATTCCGTGGAAAAGCGGGGAGGAACCGGCCCAGGAGCCCCGAGCAGATCCCGCCCGGGGCCTCTGCCCTCCGGAAAAGGCCTGCGATCCTCGCCCCGTCCAGCTTGCCGAAGCCGCCCCTGGAGCCGCGTCGAGCTCACCTTTTCCACCACGCTGCTCATGGCGGAGGCGAAGCGGAGGGTGCTTCTCCTCAGGCGGCGCTCCATGGCTGTGCTGCCGCCGCCGCCTCCCGGCCCTCCTCTTCGCCGGCGGTCCGAGGCCTCGCTCTCCATCCCTCCCCCCCTCGCTCTCCCCATCTCGGCCGTCGCCGTGGCCCGTTCTGTGCGGCCCAAGGCCGAGGATTGGTCGCTTCCAGGTTGGGCAACTCCTTCAACCCGATTCAAATCCGCCGCTGCGCTAGTCCCGCGAGAGTTGGTAGTTGTTCGCCAATCGGGAGAGCCCCGAGGAGCAGTTCTGTTTTGATTGGCTGGCTGCCGCCGCCCCACCCCTGATCCCGCCTCCCTCTCTCTAGCTGAAACTCTCTGCCCTCAGCAAGCTCTTTGTTGAGCGCGAAAGTCAAACGAGCAGGAGAGCTTTGGGAATGGCCCGGGCCAGCGTAGCGACGCAAACTGCGTAAGCGTGAGAATGGGAGAAGCAGAAAGGTTTTTGTTGTTAAGGGAGATGTAAGGAGGCGCCAAATGGGTAGTGGATTAGTTTTGCCCGTTCGAAGTTAGCTGCTACGGACTATATACCTAAAGATCGATGAGTTTTGTGGCACTTTGGAAGCTCAGACATTTATTGTGGCATAAACTCTGCCGGATTGGAATTGCTCGTATCATCATTCAGTGCAAGGCAATGGTAGTTTGCTTTCATAAAGCTTTTGAAAAATCCCAACTGCTGATTATATCAGGGAATGACTGTTGCAGATTTTTTTTTGAGTCTGTTATTTGGATAAGTCTTTTCATTGTGTTGGATTCGCGTTTAATTATTTTGTTCTGTTTAATAGGGTTTTTTTGTTACCTGATCTGCAGATTCAAAAGTATTTTACGGTTGTTTTAATTAATAAAGAATGGAAAAGAATTGAGCAAGCTTTTGAGTTCATCATGAACGTTGATCAAGCTGGGTGTTAAGTTTAAGCATAAAAGCGAAAACAAAAGGTGGGGGGATGTTACGTGGTGAGTTTAAATCTGCAGATTATCATATTCCGATGACAGGAGGTAGGAGGTGTCACATCGACTTCCTTAGATTAGATTATGCTTGTTGCAAAATGTTTTCGAATTGCCTCAAATGTCATCGGGGATGGAGAACCATGTTTAACTCTCCATATGGTGCAACATGAAATCAGAGTGGCTGAACAGTCTTTAACAGTCTTTTATTGTTAAATTTAGTGTCTGAACTGGAACTGAAATGAAGAATTTGAAAACACCAAGGAACCTGAACTAGAGCCAAAATCAATTTTTGTATGTTTCTACTGCTTAATTTACTGGAGTATAGTTTTTAGCTGAGAAACAATGTGTTTCCCCTAAATCCTTTATGTTTCATGTCAAAAAGGCAGAGCTCTTTTTGCATAATGTGTCAAAGGGACAAACAACTCAGGCACAAGTAATAAGAAAACCGTAGTGTCTATAGAGTTTATCACAGTTGTTAAATTATTTCAAAATACCATTGGTCTCTTTGAAGTGTTACTAGAAAGTCAATATGTAGAACAAGATTAGTGTACAATTTTACTATTATTATTTACATATATCAGTTGTCTTTAAACCTAGTCCTCTGGGTGATGTACAGCAAAAAATGAAAACACAAATCAAATAATGCAGTAAATATCAAATCAGATAAAATGCAACATCAGCACAAAATATGTAGGTACATAAAAAGGGCCAAAATAATCCCACAGGGTTAAAATAGCATGTGCAAATGCTGTCAGAGCAGAGAATAAAATCATACAATAATCGATAACAACCTAAGATAATATTTTTTATCTCCATGGCTTGTTAATCCTTCCCATTTGCTTTGTTCTTTTTTCAGCCTTATATTTTCAAGCCCACATTTCCATGCTGGCCACAAAGGAGGACAAGCATGGAAAATGCAGGCTGGTAAAAATGAAATAAAAAAGCAGGCCTTAAAAGGACAGATGGAACAATCCCTCAGTCCTCAGCCACCTGCCACATTTCTACACTGGCCATAGAGGAAGGTGTTTCCCATCATCTACAGCTACCATAGAAACCAAAGATGGAGTGATTCATCCCTCCTTCACCAGCCCACTCACTATCCCAATTGCCTATGGCGGTTGAGAAAGCTATTAAATACAAGACTGCTTTCTTCTCAAGTTATAACTTTTTGGTTATTACCCAGAAAAAGAAGTTGCCTTTTCCAGAGACTTTGCAGAACATCATCAACTCTTAAATCGTTTGAAATAGTTTTATGTAAAATGTGAGTCTTTGACGGATGTAATTAATTGCTATTTGAAAACATGGGTTTTTTTTCTTTTTCTGTGGTTTTCTTTAGCAAATGATGCCATTAAATGTGAAGAGCATGGGATTGGATCTGTGCAGATTGTTAAGAGATGTGTGGTTATGGAAATGAGGAGAAAAGGAGTGCCCATTCATTGGTGATGTTGGCTGATCTGCAGGAACCCATCCTACATTAAGGCTGCAATCCTATACACCTTTACATGAGAGTAAGTCCAATGGAACTTTATGAAACCTGAGCAAGACATGCATAGGATTGCTTGGTTAATCTATGTACTTTTTCATCCAGTGTTGATATTCCTCTCCCTTTCCCCTTCTGCACTTGTAATTGACAATTAAGATAACTTAACTGGCACCCTCAATTATTAAAACATCATATAGAGTATAATAAGCTCATTTCTCACTCAGTTATGCTTATAACCACAATGAAACATAAGGATGTATGAAACAAAAATGCCACCCTTCTCACCTGTTTCAGTTGCTCCAAACATAAAATAGTGACATAAAAATATAAAAAATATAAAAACAAAGTATATACTTTGAGAGCAATGCTATGAAGCGACAGATTTGCTCAATGAAGTCTTCTAATAAGTGTTTCTCAGCCCTTTCACAATTAAATCCTATACATATCTACTTGGAAGTAAGCCCTATTGAGTTCAATTTACTCCCAGATAAGAATGTATAGAACTGGGGTGATAGCCCACTATTAATCTACATATGGAGCTTGCAATCTGGAAAATGACTACTTGGTAAAAAATGAAGTCTCAGAGTTTGGACTGAGGCTTTTCATGACCTGAGTTATGCCTGTGCATTGAAAACAGCTATGGTGTTATCTGCACCTGCACTGAAAATCATACTCCTTCAGAGGGGGAGAAATTTTCCTGTTTTAGCTTACTAGACTATAAAAGCAAATATAGAAAATGACTTGCCTGACACACAATGGATTAGAATGGGTGTGTCCTCAGGGGAGCATCTTCATTTATTCTGTTATATTTTCAGCAACACTTTTTACATTGTTATTATTATTAAACTAGGTTTTTTAGGATGTTTAATTCTGACTGATGGGATTATCAGTTTTTCCAGTGTCTCCTCTGCCTCTTGTGATCTTATTCTGATATTTATATATCAATATACCTGAAGGAGCGTCTCCACCCCATTGTTCAGCCCGGACACTGAGGTCCAGCTCCGAGGGCCTTCTGGAGGTTCCCTCATTGCGAGAAGTGAGGCTACAGGGAACCAGACAGAGGGCCTTCTTGGTAGTGGTGCCTGCTCTGTGAAACGCCCTCCCATCAGATGTCAAGGAAATAAACAATTATCTTACTTTTTAAAAGATATCTCAAGGCAGACCTGTTTAGAGGAAGTTTTTAATGTCTGATGTTTTATCCTGTTTTTAATATTCTGTTGGGAGCTGCCCAGAGTGGCTGGGGAAACTCAGCCAGATGGGTGGGGTATAAATAAAAAATTATTATTATTATTATTATTATTATTATTATTATTATTATTATTCAGGGGAATACAGTTTCTGTTTATTTAATCCTTCCTTTCTACATTGAGTTTGTCCTTCAGTTATTAAAAAATACTGAGACAGACCGTAATATATTACTGTACCTATGCTGAAGAAGTTGAAGTTCCCATTCATTATTGCAGGTTTTTTAGAGGGTGGGTGGAAATAATAAAATAATCTAAATGCCAAAGCTATAATGTCAACTCTGCTTATAATACCAAGTGATACATTGCATAGTTTGGCTGTCTGCCATATCGATCAAACTACTGGTAAAATAATTACAGATGATGTGGTGCATTTCATGTGCACCTATCCACAGAGGCTAAGCAAAACTGAAAACATTTTCATTTCTCAGGTTTGATCACCTTTTGGGGGAAATTGCTTGCCCAGCCTTGTTCACCATTCACTTGCAACAGAATTCAAGCACTTACGAGGATTCACAGGAAAGTTTCAATAAGGGATACCTGAGGAAATAGATGCTGGGCCTCCGCAATATTTTCATTAAGTGGTACGCCCTTAGGGCTGGTCTTGCCCAAATTTGAAGTGAATCCCCTATTGTTTCTTGTTTCATGCCACTCTATATTTTTCATTACCCTGACAATACTTCACATTATTATGATGCCATTATTTAGTATGTTTCCCCCCTCAAAGCTCAATATAGCTTCGTGTCTGTGCTTATTTTCCTACACGTCAAAAAACCTGCAGATGAAGGTGAGGCTGACCAGCTTTAGGCATCCCTTTCTCTTTGAAGCATGGCCAGCGGAACATGTTCCTTCAGCATGTTAAATAAAACTAGGCCTCCAGTTTCCTGCCAAAACACTATGGAAGTAAATCAAGACCAACCCGGTATATTTTCTTTACACCTCATTACTATTTCCCTAAGTATTTTCTGGGATGAGCATTAACTTGAAACAAGCCTGGTTTATAATCCTGTAAAATCTGAAATCACACACATTGGGACTTTTGGATACATAAAGAAATATTCAAATTAATTTGAATAAACGGAGAGGTTTTGCTATCATCCCTGCTGTCAGCACTGCAAAACCCTCAGCTTATGCCTGAACTTCAGGCTGCAGTGGTTCCTGCTGGGCTGTGTGGGTGACGTGCACTGGCATGAGTTCTATGCACGTTCCACAACTAAAGAGTGACATCGAGCTCCCTACATGGGGTGGTAAATCTCTGTTGTAGCACTAGGAAGCTAGAATGAAGAAACAAGCTAAGTCACATCAAGCAATTGGGTTGGAAGCCAGGATGCAGTGTGACAGGAAAAAAACAACCCATAATCAAACATCGCAAGCACAAATTTGAAGGGGAGGGGGAAGTTTAGAATAGTAGTTAAGGTCAGCAGACGCCAATGAACTGAGATAGGACCGAGATGGGGAGGTCTTCCAAACTGAGAAAGTGGTCCACAAGACATTTTTTGCCATTTCCAAAGGTGACTTTGAGGCAGGTGAAACCCATTTAGGACTCTCAAATAAGAACAGGGGATGTTGTAAGCAAAGCAACTCCTCCTTATGTATACATCCCTCCCGGAGTGATTAACTGTTTTCCATTTATTATTAAGAGTATTAAGCTTGTGTATTTTTTAAAATAAACTGTAGGGGGTGGGGATTGTGTGAACTGGCTTTCCGTTGAATCAAATAGGCATAAATTCTCTTTTAAAGTCCTGGAATTAATCTTGGATCACTGAAGCCAGTGTTTTTGAAGCTTTGAAGTTTTAATTATTTCCCCGAAATGGTGTCACTCCATGACAAATGTAAAGCTTCTCTAAAAAGGTTAATCCTTTTTTTCTAACTGCATCATAAAGGTAAAAGGAAAAGAAAAAGGCAAAACAGTTGAAACATCAAAGCCCTAAGTCACATTAACTTACAGATGTAATAATAATACCAAAGTGGTAAGCAGCTTCCATAAGTGGATATTTATCTTTGGAGTCATAAGCTGATTGAGGTGTTTCCCAGATAATCCATTCCTATTTTAAGCACTGATTAGTGCAAATGTTAAGTTAATGCAAACCATGCTTCATCCTTAATTGATCTAGAAGGAAGCCAATCCTATCTAGTGGTTTATCACCACATTGTAAATTTCAAGTTAAACAACCAGTACTTAAAAGGAGCAATTTATCAGCACAGGATCTTCTGGAAGTGTCCGGTTTGCCTTCTTCCTCTGTATAGTTCTGTTTTGCTAATTCCCCCATTACAAGCAATGAGAGACTCTGTCTGTTTTTGCTGCACTAAATAGCTTTTGTGATGCATGTAGACAAATGTTGTGCTCTCACAGTGGCTGCCACATCCACTGGGAAGGAGAAACAGGGAAAATAGATGGCAGATGGAGCTGAAGTGACAATTCCTCCTGGAGCTTCTTATATCCTGAACAGTGGATGGGAAATGTAAAAGTCAGTGCTGAAATTTAATAGGTTCCTTGTCACAAGTCCCATTTATGTTATGAAAAGTCTCAGACGCTGTGTCTTCGCCCACTTTGTATAATTTTCAGTACATTGGAAAGGTCAAAGCTCTTTGAAATCATTTCCAGGAGATTTTCATCGCTTTCCACTCCGCTGATGAACTCTTCTAAACTCAATTCCCCTAGAATAAAAAAAACCCCATAAGTGCTTAGGAATATACATAGGTAATTATAGATCATAAGAACTATTTCAAAATACCATACCTTTTAACCCCTAAGCTCTTCAGTGGAGCAGTAACTCTCAAATTTAGGGAAAATATTATTAAACACCACTGGAACATTTTTAAGCTCTCATAGGACTTGGCAAAGACAATGCATGAGTTGAAGGGCCTGCACCTATCATGTTGTTGGAGATGCTTATAAATTCAAATCTAGGAACCAAATTTTAGTCAAGCTAAGCTGTTTAATAGAATTCTCACTTGTCTTCCAAATCTCCTGGCTTCTTTTGGGGAATCTATGATGTTCTCCTTGATTTGGCTTACCTCCCCATCATAACGTATTAAACAGACTCGGGTCATCTTAATTCTGTTTTTGTTTTGACGATTTATGTACCGCTTAATTAGAATTGCATTTAAGCTGCTGTTCAGCAAATGATTTATAAAGAAATTACATCTAGTACCACCTTAATGCTCTTGGTTTAAGATAAGCTCACTTAATAGCCTTGCTGCCCATAAAAGTCAATAAGAGAAATGGCTGATTTTAAATTTCAGATATTTCTTATATTAGAGTCTGGAATTAGTTAAATAAATTGATTAAACGACTTGCATAAAAAGCCCATTGTCTATATTGCATTGTATACCTTTTAATAATAAAAGTTTTTTAAAAGTAGATATGTTAAATAAAACAATAACATGCTTTTACTCCAGCGGTAATCACCAGCTGGAGCTACTACAAGAATAATGAAATGACAATATCAAAATCCATTTGCACTGCATTGCCATGTAGTATTTTAAAATGCCCCTTAATGCATGTTGTTTTTACTAAAGCCACTTCATCAGATGCTCCTTTTGCTTTGTACAGTCCAGGTGATTTGGTAGAGCATTTAATGCATTTCTGAATCCTGCGCTGCACATGCAGAGATAAGGTGGAACGGAAAGAACTAGTATGATGTAGCAGGCAAAGCGTCAGACTTGGCTTAGATCCAAAGCAGACATGAAACATCTACACACACCATATATTTAAAGCAAATGGCTTCCCCAAAGAATCATGGGTGTTGGGGATTGCAGCTCTGGAAAGGGTGAACTACAGTTTCCAGGCTTATTTGGAAGAAGCCATCTGCTTTAAATGTATGGTGTGGAGAAAAACATGGCAGGTATTTGGAAATCCGGAACAGAAAAATAAGCAGAGAGGAAAAGAGGAAGCAGCCTGCCTCCTGCATCTAAATCCCTGCCTTCCTCAAAGTGCTTTGGTTGAAAAAATAATTGAAAGGCAAAAGAAAGACCCATGTAATTGTATTTCTCCATTAGTTTGGGCCTCAGCTATAAAGTTCCCCAGACGGCCTTTCTAAAGTACCTCTAAAGTGAGGCTAAAATGGGGTTTCCCATGTATTCCAGCCCATGTTCATTGGAGGAAAGATGGGTTAGAAATGTGTAAAAAGTCTAGAATAGACCTGCAACACTTTCCCCCAAATCATGCCTGACATACGTAAAGTGTGGGGCAGGTAAAGGCATTGCTGACATGGGCAGCACTAGGAAATCCCACATCGAGAACTGATGTGATGGGGCTGATTCTCAACACCTGCAGGCTGATTGGCCCTGTGAGCAAGTCCTGTTGGAGTCTCATGTTTTTCCTTGCTGACCAGCAAAGAAAAAATGTAAGTTTGAAGCCATGGTATGAATCCATACCACACCTGCTGAGAGCAAGTCCCTTTGAAGTGGTCAGCTGCTGTCGTCATGACGCCAAGTGATTGACAGGTTGGCTGCCCAACCAACTGTCAAACTGGACCCACACTTGAAAACTTTTATAATCTTACCGTCGTTGTTAACGTCTATCTTCTGGAATACCATGTTTGTGAATTCTTCTGGAGTCAATTCTTGGTTGCCATTGATAGCTTGAATGGCCTGAAGGGATGGAAAAAGTGCAAACATGTCAGCAGGTCATAATGCGAATTTAATTTATGGCTGCTGGTTCGCTCAGCATCTGAGGCAGGGTGGGTGGCAGGAGCAGGCATAATCTCCAGGAAATCTTCAGTAATGAGGATTGTAAATTAAATTAATATAACAGAACCTAAAGGATTATAGATCCAATTAGCATATCATTGAAGATCCTGTCAGGACACGTGATTATTCTTAAACCCAGCTACATTTTTATCCTGCCCTGGAGAATCTGTTTTTTCAGAATATTCCATGTCATTTAAAGTAAAGATTATTGTATATGGTGTGGAAGCTTAAGCAACTTTTCTCATCATATACATACATACATACGTACAGTGCTTTTTTCTAAAAAAATGTTTAGGGGTACTCTCATTTTCCTACACATATTGAAATATTGCCCCTCAATGAGGCCTGACTTCGATTCACAAAATGTTTAGGGGTATGCGTACCCCTGCGTACCCCCAGAAATAAGCACTGCATATGTACACCCACCCACCCACAAACTTAATCCTTAACATCATAAAAATGTATAGGTATTTTTCACATTGCACAGGAAAACAGGCTTTACGCTACTAGCCATACTGACTATTATCTATCTTCGCTACTGTTGTGCTCATCGGTGTTAGAAACTGAGATATGAAAGCTAGGAGCTAAATGGCACCTTAAACCTAGGTTATGGGGGCAATAACGGAATGTCTAGGTACGCTTTTTTATAAGAAGAATACAAAGCTGAACATGAGTGAACAGCAGCTAAAGTATTATGTTCATTTTTCACATGGTCTAGTCCTTGCCCTGCCCACCCCCCTAATATTCCTAAGAGGGTCTCTTCTCCAGTCTTCAGAGAGTAGCTGGAAGTGGGGAGGCAGAAAAAAGGCCCTCCTTTCCTTCCCCTCAGCAGTTTTATTCTGAAATCTTAGATGCAGTACTGCACCCAGAGCTCAGAAACTGCTCTCACTAATGAAATTCCCTGTTGCAAAATGCCCCTGGAATAATGGGAGTTTCAAACATGGCTGCTCTTGTCCAGCTCATAGACTTCCCACAGACATGTGGTCGGCCACTGTGAGAACAGGATGCTGAACAAGATGAGTCATTGGCTTGATCCAGCGGCTCATTTTACGCTCTAATCTTGATCTACTTGTCAGAATTTATGGAAGGGAAAAGTGGAAGGGAGCTTTTTTTTCAACTTAATGTACTTTCTTATGACATTTTCACAATGCCCCAGTTCTGGCTGGGGCTGATGGGAGTTGTAGGCTCAAGGTTGGGGAAGGCTGATACAGAGCCATGCTAGGGAAGGGACATTGTGGGAAACTAAATCCAACCACATGGAGCTGCTGAGAGTGCCAGTTCAGAACCTTTGTTCAGAGGCGCCTAGTGTGGTTATCAGCAGTGGGCCCTGACAGCTACCCAAGGATGCCTGGTGCTGGCACCAGCCTTGTGTAATTCCCTCTCTTTCACCACATTGGGGACAAGGAGATTTCATTGCAGGCCCATGTTCCCCTTTCCCATTGATTTCTGGAACAAAAGAGAAGCCGCAAGTGACCGTCTAGCCAGATAATGACTGAAACAGGCAGTGAACTACAGCCAAAACATCAATAGGTTTAAATAATTGATTTCCCATAAAACGCTTCATGGCAAATATATGCTAACATATACCATTCCCTTACCGTGAATATGCTTAAGAGTTCTCTTTTGTCAATAGTTCCATTCCCATCAGCGTCATAGAGTTTAAAATACCATTTCAATTTTTGGTCAATTTTTCCTCGTATAACCAGATTTATTGCAGCTATAAATTCCAAGAAGTCGATAAACCCATCCTAAAGAAGGAAAGAAAGATAAGTTTGTAGCATGTATAGCCCTTAATTTATTCTGGCAATAATATTAATAAGGGGCTGGTCTGCTGCAAAGAGAATGCAAGCTTAACTGAAAGCATCTTACACTGAAATCCCCCCCAGGGCATTCAAAAAATGTGAATATATCAGTTCATACAAAAGCAATACAGAAAAGCTTTAACACATAAGGGCATGTCCTAACTGATGACATTAAGATACTCTCTTTTCCTCTTCAGTGATTATTTCTTGTATAAACGATCAACCTTTTGTTCTTGGAGACTTCATAGGCAATTGGTTTTTCACACAAGAAATGCACTATTGGTACTCATTTGTTGTTGGGAGTCGGATAGCTGGCAGTTCTACTGCAGGGATACTGCATTTTCTAAACAATCACACTGCAATATTTTGTCCCCAAGAAATAACATTTATTTTCGAGGAAAAAACAGTTGTTACTATTGCCATCGTCATGTCAAATGTAGTTGCTGATGGCATTGTCGATGAGCCATGCTATTTTCTGCTTCTTCCCCATGCCTGCAATATTTTGTGACTTAATAATAATAATAATAATAATAATAATAATAAAGTTATATGATGGCAATTTATTTGCATTGATTTTTTTTATTTGATAAAGGATGATTTCTCTCTGTACTACTGCCTCAGAGTGTCCATAGAGTCTGAAAAAGAAAAAACGGTGAACCGCAGAAATGCCACTGCATGGAGTAAAGCTGTCTAGTGCAAAAATGGCAGCCCTGTGTCAAGTCCCTTAGCCTGTGTCCTGATGTCACCAGCCAGTGTTTCCTCACCTTGTTATGCAGAGGTTGGGAGCACACATATCTTAATAGGTGTGGCTGTGTATCACAAGGCCTCATGTCAAGCCTTGGCCCCATCCATGTGTTTGGTGCACATGAGAAAGGGAACTACATGTGTCAGGGGCTCAGAGACTGAGCCACAGGAGAAGGAGGAGATGGAGAGCGAAGGGGAACAATCTGAGGGGAGCTCAGGAGGGTATGACAGTGACCAGAGAGATTCCATGAGTCTCTCCAGCGAATCAGAAGATTCTCAGAAGGAGGCCCCCAGGATCAGGGCAAGGGGGGCCAGTGGGGAGTCTCCAAGCGGCAGCTGGAAATCAGGGCTAGCTTCCCCACCAGAGCGCAGCGGGGGGGAAGAATCCCACAGATTAGAACAAAAGCCTCCTCCTGCAGGAGGAGAGAGTGAGGCAGGACTGAACACACCTCCGTCCGAGAGGGGAGGGGCGGAGGAGAGAGCAGGGCCGGCCAGCCTCCCTGAAGGAGGAAGCAGTGAAGGGAGCAGTGTAGCCGTTAGGAGGAAAGTGGGCGGCTGGGCGCGCGCGCCAAGTTCAAATGTAGAGGCGCGCGGGACAGCAGAAAATCCGGATTGGGAGCCAGGTCCCAAAGCCCGCCGGAGACAGGGGAGGAGTCAGAAGAATCCGCCTCCGAAGAGTCCAGGAGGGTTGGTACCCCAGAGGACAGGAGGACCCGGAGGAGAAAGGAGCAGAGGGAGGAGAGAAAGAGGTGGAGCAAAGCCCGGGTCTTGAACTGGTGTAAAGGAGGGGCGGATTCAGATGGAGCATCGCCGGTCTAAGGACCCAGACGTAGCGCTGCGCGCCACGCATGTCAAACCAACAATGAATCACAATAAAGACTTTTGTTTATAAAGAGCAACTGGCGTTGGTCCTTTGTGAGCTGGGACCTGAGGCAGCCGCTGACAACATGCTTTTATGTTTGGTGCACGTAGAGATCTCCTACGTGGAGAAGGGATCATGGCTCAATCAGGATCTATGTGTGTACATCATGCTTTCCAGAGAATCCAGACACACAGATGGCAAGGGGGCATCGCCATTGAATGCATTGGCAGTGAGGGCAAGATTACCCCACATAGCTTTATCACACACATGCACACACACATGCATTCTTTGAATGCACAGTGGGCAATATGAATGGAACACAGGAAGGTGCCTTATACCAAATCAGACCATTGGTACATCTAGCTCAGGATTGCCTAGCAGCTCTCCAGAGTTTCAGACAAGAGAATCTCCTCGCCCTACCCTTCTTTAATACCAGCTGAGTCGCATCCCAATGCTTGAAACAGTTACATCATCATGCAAAAAGAAACAGCATTTTTAAGATGGCTGAAAGTGAGTAAATGCCAAAACATCTGTTTTGTGTGGACTGGGTATCTCACACATGTCTTTGAGCAGCATGTTCCACAAAGAATAAAAGGCAGATGGGGCCAGCAGGCTATAGCATCTAGATCAGACTATGTCTCCAGATGCTGTTGAACTACAACTTCCACCCTGTGATATGCTGAACGAGATTTTACTAATGGGTGGAGCCAGACACAGGGATACCATTTTCAGCCACCATCCCTTACCATTGGTCTGACAAAGTTCCAACAACATTTGGAGGTGGGGCAGGTTTCCTATTTCTGATCTATATAAACTCTTGAAATTCTGGGTTAGATCACTGCTCCAGTATATCAGTTTAAAATACATTGCTCCCTTTTCCATTCACTCAGCAATTGCCTTCTTTTTTTATTTTGCGAATTGCCATACAATAAAAAACAACAACAAACAGTTACAGATCTCTCACGTGTCGTCGTTGCAGTATATGACTGGAAAGAAGTGATAAGCATTAAAAACAGATAAGCAGTAAGTAAAGCAACACTGTATTTTCCTATTGATTATTCCCGCCCTTTGGTGTGAGTGACAGTGTTCTTTGCTGTGGACTCTACCCTTGCCTTTATGTTATGACCACCTGCAGACCTTTCTTTGACAGTACATCCACCTGGGGTACTTGATTCAGCCCTGTTGATCACCACAGTTCCAATGCATTGCTGTTTCCTTCCATACATTCTCCTCAGCGGTCCATACAGTGGACAGGGTCCATTATAGGTGACACAGTCTAGATGGCATGGCATGTCTTGGAGTTTTTTAAGCAGAGGTTGGCTGGCCATCTGTCATGGATGATCTAGTTGAGATTCCTGCATTGCAGGGGGTTAGACTATAGATGACCCTTGGGGTCCCTTTCAACTCTATGATTCTATGAAATCCATCCTTATTAAAGACAGATTCATTTCTTTTCAAAATGTTTGATGGCAGCTGATTTTGTGCCCAAAAGCTATGCTGAATGAACTAAATGATTCAGAAGACCAGGAAGGATGTTTCCATTCAGCACAGATACCATATAGCTTTGCTATAGGTTTCTCTCATTTCTGGAGGAACCTTCTTCACATGGAGTGGGTAGTGAAGCCACATCCACCAGCCTACTGCAACTTTCATGCACCAACCAACTTTGCCTCCCAGTCTCTGCTCTCTACACTTTTGGGAACTCCATTTGACCAAGGTTCCTCATAGCACAGAGGGCCTGCTTTTTTGTATAATTTTCACACTTAACTCCCCTTTCCAAAATAAAAGACATGTGTTGGGGGAGCTCTGGAAAGTCATAGGGATGAGACCTGTGGCCCGCTGCCGCCTTGATGGGTTGACAGAACAAATTGTCTGATTTCACTAGAATGAGTCAGGCGCCCAAACTAGTAAGATGTTACACAACAAAATAAGATGCTGTTACTGATGGAATTTGGATGCATCAGCAGAAGCCTGAACTGAACACTGGAGGAGCACACTTTATTTATAGATGCAATCTCACTTAGACTCTCCGTTTGGAAAATAAGAAAGCTGAATTTATTACAGGAAATGCAAGTGTGATAAAGAGGATCCTAGTTCTATCTAAAGAGGATGCCTGTTGTTCTCGGCAGGAGACACAAACAAAGATATTTCCTCAACCCAAGGGGGTGATGAAGAAGGGTGGAATAGGAAATGAGATCAGCACACCCTTCATTCCATTTGTGCCACATAAAATCATAGAATTGTAGAGTTGGAAGAGACCGTAAGGATCTAGTCTGCAATACAGGAATTTCACCTAAAGCATCCATGCCTCATCGCCATTCAACTTCTGCTTAGAAAGGGGAGAGTTCACTACCTTCTAAAGGAATCAATTCCACCTTCTAACATTCCACTTCCTGATGTTTAGTCAGAATATCCTTCCTTTTAATTTGAACCGATCGGTTTGGGTCCTACCCCCTGGAGCAGGAGAAAACAAGCTAGCTTAATTTTCTGTGTCACAGCCCTTTAGACTCAGAACCTGATTAATGTTTCTTCCAGTTCAGCGGTAAACAGCGGGTTTTCCCAGGGAAAGGATCAGGACAAAAACCAAAACTCAATTGGACCTATGCCTAGAAATCATTAACCTGGGCCTAGAAACCACAGGAAAAAAAGAAGTGTGGATGCCCACCCTGAGAGTATCAGTCCAACACCTGAGAGACGGCAGCAACGGATTTAGGGCCGTGCAGGCAGTTCCCCCCACCCCCACAGGGTGACAAGCTGAGGGAGCACAAAATTATTATTATTATAAAACCTATTTTTATATGAGTATCTACTGAAATCCATAAAAAGCAACTGTACTAAAAGGAATTATTGTGAAAATAAGAAATTTTAGGGAGGGACACCAAATTTTACTTTCGTTCAGCCTGCCGTGTTACCAAAGCCCATCTCTGGGGAAGGTTAGCAGAGGTTAAAGGGACAGTCTAGGATGCCTGGAGGTACATTTCTCTATTTACCTTCTCCCCATTCAGCCCCACCAGTTTTCAATACAAGCTGAGTTGCACCCCAGCACTTGCAACAACTACATCATTACCCAGCATCATGACAAAAACAAACAAAAATTTGCTGAAAATGAATAAATTCCAAAACAGAAAAGGGCAGGAGTTAGATGGGGAAGGAATTCACTTGTCACTGAGCACTAGTGCAGGATTGGACAATTCAAAGTATGGACAAAAACAAATAGCACTTCTTGATATGTAAAAAAGGAAGCCACCTCTTGGTGTAAAAAAACAAACAAAAATGAATAATTTGGGTTCCACTATGGTTCCGCTCAATTAACTATAATGAAAAGGTCTGTCTGAGGGTT